TATTCAAACAACTCAATTTGCAACCACATTAGTGACTGTGTGAACTTAACTACTGCTTCCTACTACAGCTTTATGCAGATTGATTTAAAGCAATAGCCAAGCTTAGTAAAAACACAAATATTAAAAATGTAAAAAAGGTTACTAAAAATCGTTATTAGATCACATATTTCTTCAACATCTGTCCTGAAGCTGTTTCAAAATATGAAAATAGAATGCGGTTACATTCACAAAGTTCAAAATTCTTCAACTGAAAAAAGCACAGCATTGAGACGAAAGGAAAATTTTTCCACACAATAGGAATTTAAAGATGACTTATTAGAGCACTGTCACACGATGTTAATAAACTTATTTTTTGGCCAAAACCAACTAAACTTTCAGAAACTCAAACAACATTAAAGTGCCTTCAAAGAAATTAGGTTGAACAGTTTAATTGTCCACTGACACCACAAGAGGAGTGGTCCTGCTCCAGGACAAGCAGCTCCTGCCTCTTCCCATACTTGCCCCACAGAAATTCCCTCTGAAGAAGAAAAGTTTAAATTGTTACTCCAGTGGGTCACAAGACTGAATAACCTCAGTGATGGGTGAGAAACACAAGGAGCTGGTCAAGCTTTGGGAGAAACAAATGTTCCAACAACATGAAGAGATTCATAGAATGGTTTAGGTTAGAAAAGCCCTCCCAGACCATCAAGCCCAACCACTCCCCAGCACTGCCAAGGCCACCACTGACCCATGTCCCCAAGGGCCACATCCACACGGCTTTTAAATCCCCCCAGGGAGGGGGACTCCATCACTGCCCTGGGCAATATCCAACCTGAACCTCCCCTGGCACAGCTTGAGGCCGTTTCCTCTCACCCTGTCCCTTGTTCCCTGGGAGCAGAGCCCGACCCCCACCTGGCTCTACCCTCCTGTCAGGGAGTTGCAGAGAGCAAGAAGGTCCCCTTGGAGCCTCCTGAGGATCTGCTGTCCCACCCCATCCCCACTCCAGGTCCAGTCCCTGCAGGATCTTTCCATCAGCTGACACCTGCCCTGCAGGAAGCTTTTAGGTTCCCTTCTAAGCCAGTGAGAGGGATCAACCCACAGGAGAAGTTCAGGGGCACCCATTCAAAAGCAGCAGGAGGAGAAGGATCTCCCCCTTGGAGCAGCCAGGAACTGTTAGATCACCCCAACCCATAATTAAACTGGTTAGAACCAAAATATGCAAATCAAAAATCAGGGATATTTTGTTCCCAACGCTCCCAACCCACCTCTGACCAAACACAACCACCCTCTTCCCCACACAGCAGCCCTGATACTTCTATTCTTCAGTGAATTAGGAAAGAATCCCAAACCAAACACAAACCTTGTCATTTTCCCTTTATTTTTCCCTGTTCGGTATCCTATAGCTTCCCTGTAAATGTGCATCCTATCATGGAACAACAGCAGGAATTTGGCACTTCTGGAAATTGCAGTAGGTATTGATTGAGCTGCCTCTTTTTAACACAAAAGTCCAAGCCCAGCTCTTCCAGTTTTGGGATCAGAAAATCTCATTCTCTCACTTACATTTTATTCAAACATTATAATGGTTGAATAAACAAAAACATTCTCTTTCAGCTGCTAATCGAGCTTTTCGGTCCCAATCTTTTCTTCTCAGGAGGCATTAAAATACTTGTATTTGGAGAAAATTTGTGTATCAGCATTTCCTCCACCACAAACACTCAGTAAGCAGCTTAGTGCAGGATATTGTAACAGTCACAAAGCTTCAGCTGATCTTAAGTTAGAGGTGTTTTCTTTCTGGTTTATGCCTGGAACAAACTTCTAACATGTTGGAATATGAGGAATCACGTGAACATGTAAAAAGAACCCTAACACAGGTTATTAATCCCAAGCCTGAACTCAGTTTAATATATATTCTAAAGCCTTTTTTTTTTCCCGTCTGTCCTGTATTCAAATTGCTTCTGCAAAAGTGAAGCAGCATTTTTGTCACTTTAGTTTCACTTTCTGGACTCGTTCTCTCACTAACCATGCTGGGTGCTGCTTTCTGAAGAGCCTTCCTGTCTAACCCATCAAGTTTCATAGTTACATTGGGTTTTGAGGTTTAGATCTGGAGCTGATTCTCTAGAACACAACCTTTTAGGATCATTCCTGCCTGAGGGATGAGCTCCTGTGCATTCCTTCAGAACAGTCACAAACAATTTTCCACTGGGGAAGGAAGGATGGGGAAGAGGGCAAGAGGCACAACAGCAGTCTCAGACCTCACAGCCTTTCCACCCACATTTTCATCACCCTCGGTTCCTTTAGTTCGATACCAGAGCTCAGAGGAAATGCCATGCTAAGGAGGATTCCCAACCTAGTCCCTGTATATTCCCTAAATTCATAGAATACTAGAGTGGTTTGGGTTGGAAGGGACCTGAAAGACTATCCAGTTCCAACCCCCTGCCATGGGCAGGGACACAAACCATATTCAGAACATTTCTCCTGGTTTAAATCACTGAAAGTATTAATTTTGTCTCAATTCAGATACAACAGTTCCCTGCACAACTCGACTGGGAATGAACACCACGTGCTCATGAACTCATCCACAGGTGGATCCAAGCTCTCTCAGGTAGATCCAAGCTCTCCCAGCCCTTTCTGCTCCTCCTACTCCTTCTGCTCAAATAAAGACGCCAAAACAGCACAAAGAATTCACCTTCAAAATGGCAAAGATGAAGAAAACCCTTTTCCTTTCTTAGCCAAATATCAAGACCAATAAAGGCCACGGCTGTTGGAAAATCCATGAAGGGAAAACCCAAGCTCCATATTCCAGTGCGTTTTTGTTGCTCTGGGCAGCACAGCCTTCCCCAGCCCTCAGAGTGCCGAGGACGTGACATGGAGTAGGAAGTTCCTCAGCATCAGCAAAAGGCTCAGCCCCCCCCAGGACACAGCACTGAGAGGATATTGGGGTTCAGATCACAGGATTTGGCGGTTAATTAAAAAAAATGACAAAATTTCCAGGCAGTTGGTGAAACTCAAGACAGAAATCCTGAATTCCGTGAGAGACAAATCCCAAATCCTGTGACGCCCAGAGCAAAGGCCCCACTGTCTCTCCAGCTCTAGAGATGGGAGGACTTTAATATTCACATTTTTTAGGATCAGAGTTGTGGTTCTCTCCCTCTCAAGATGAAAAAACCAAACAGGCAGGTTCTTCTAACTCCTAAGATTAGCTCAGGACATGTTGTCTCAATAACAGGAAGAATGCTCCATCACAGTTCTCATTTGGGAGGAAAAGATAAAATAATTTAAGGGAAAATCCGTGTTTATTCAGGAATTCCAAGGGAAGAAGCCTCATGTATAAAATATCCTAATCCTGACAGTTCCAACTCCCCTGGAAGTGACGCCTGTCCCGCAGGTTTCATTTTCCCAACAGGTACTTCTCAACTCAGCATTTCCAACGCCAAGAGATTGGCATCTGGGGCTAATTCGAAGAAAACTTAATGAAACACCCATCCATCTGTCCCAGCTCTCCTCCTGAGCAGGGGAAGGAGCTGCTCCCCCAGATCCCACTGGGATGGACAAACCCACCCCGCCAATGACTCCACGCTTCAAAAAAGAGGCGTGTTGTTGGTTTTAGTTTTGTTTTAATTACCCCATTATTACCCTTTCATTATTTTATGCTATCCCCATTAACAGAACACAACTGATTACCCCCAAATAATTCCTTGGAAACCCTGCGTTTCCCAGGAGAAGGCTCTCCCCTCGCAGGACCACTGCCCTACCTCTGAACCAACCCCCCTTTGTCCTAACGACTAAAAAAAGATATTTAAAGCAAATAAATAGACGTGGTGCTACAAAAAGCGGGAGGCGCCGCCCTGGGTCCCGCCCGCTCACTCCCTTTGGGGGCCTTCAGCCCCCGGGACGGCCTGTTCGGGCCGTCCCGGGGGCTGAAGGCCCCCGAGGGGGGGGAGCGGGCGGGACCTCCGGTGCTCACGGGCCTCCGCTCCCCGCAACAAACTTGCAGCCCCGCGCAACAAGTTCCCCGTGCGCCCCCCTGACGGTCTCACCTCGGCCATGGTCGCTGAGGGTGCGGGGAAGGGTCACATCGCCGGGAGGAGCCGTCGGTCCCGGGAGGGGGGAGCGGGGCGGGAGCGGCTCCGGGAGCAGCAGCGGCGGCGGCGGGAGGGGGCGGGGCCGCGCTGCGCACGACGTCACCGCGCACCGCGGCTGTCAATCATGGCGCGGGCCACGCCCCCCCGGCAGGCGCTGAGGGCCACGCCCCCCGAGCCTGGTGTTTGAGGCAGCGGGTCCCGCTTGTCACTCAGCGTGTTGGTCAAGCTCTCACATGTCACTCAGGGGATTGGCCTGTCACTCAGGGCTTGGGCTACACCCCATATATGTTAATCAGGGTTCAGGCCACGCCCATCGCGCCCCACTGAAATAGCAAGGCCACGCCCATCACATGTCACTCAGAGCGCAAGACCACGCCCCCTCGCCTGTCACTCAGGGCGCAAAGCCACGCCTCCATCAGCCTGTCACTCAAAGACCAAGCCAGGCCTGTGAACTGGGGCCGAGCCCCTTTATTGTCACTCAAAGCACAGACCACGCCCCATGATGTGTCATTCAGGGTAGCGGTCATGCCCCCGCCTGTGACTCGGAGCGCAAGGCCACGCACCTGCTTGTTAGTCAGGGTGCGGGATCTGCCTGTCACTCAGAGCGCAGGCCACGCTCCCTCACATGCTACTGGGTACAGGCCACGCCCTCTCGCCTGTCACTCAATCGCAAGGCCACGCCCCCCTAGCGCTGAAGCGCATCCCGCCGCCGTCTCTCACGCCCCACCCCTTATCTGTCACTCAGTGTATAAGCCACGCCCCCTTAGGTGTCACTCAATACGCAGACCACGCCCCCTAGCAGAACTCAATGCACAGGCCATGCCCCGCCTGTCACTCAAGGCACAGGCCGCGCCCCCCCAGCGCTGAGGGCCCGGCCCCGCCCCATTGACTCCGCGGCACCGGCACCACCGCCCCGCGCCGCTCCCGCTCCAGGGACGGTGCCGGTGCCGCTCCCTTCCCCCGGCCCCGCTGCCGTACTCACGCGCGGAGCCGCAGAGGGGCGGAGCGGGTCTCATCGGCTGTGCAGCGAATGGAATGTCCTCGGGGAACGGGGCCTCCTGCCGTGCGTGAGGCTCTTGGGTGGCACAAGAAGAACAGCTCGAGGTTAAAAAAGCACTCAAAAAACCAGGAAAACCATCCCCCAAAAAAGGCAACCCACCCCAAATGCAGCTGTCTGGTCCCGTTCCTCGCGTCTCCCCGCAGCCCGCGGTGCCTCACCTGCCCGGCTCAGCGCCGTGCCCGGGCGGGCGCGGGGCCGCGCTCGGCGGGCATGGCTGTCAAAGCGCGGACACCGCGCCCCGGGCTGTTACCGCCCCGGCCCGGGGAGCCCCCGCCGCGCCCGAACCGCGCGGGTCAGGCACAGGAGAGGAGCCGCATGCCCAGCGCCCACAGCAGCACCCGCGGGGGTCTGCGCTGACTCAGGGCGGAACAGCTCCCCCGGTGCTGCGGCTCCCAGTGCGGCTCCCGCTGTGCCGGCGGGGGCGGGACCCGAACCCGGGGCCGTCCCGGGGCTGCGGAGCGGGGAGAGCGCGGCCCGCGCGCGCGCACCCGCCTATGGGCGGTGCCGGTGCTGGCGACCAATCCCCGCGCGGCGTGTTGGGTGGTGTTGCCGTGGTAACGGAGGACGCCGCCATGCTGGGCCCCGCCGAGCCGCGGCCTCCGCCGTGAGTGGGACCGGGAGGGGCTTTAAACGTTCCAAACATCCAAATATTACTTAATGTTAAAAATGGCTCAGAGCCTTCAAAATCACCGGGAATATAGGAGAAATTAGAATAGATAATAAGTTGTACTGTAAAGTGAGTTATAATAAATAAATGGTAAGATTCCTTTATTATAAATGTTTTAAATCCCTTAAAATAACTGCGAATATATAATAGCAGAGATAATAAATTAGAATAGATAATAAATGGTAAAAATCCTTCATTACGTCTTTAAAATAATTGGGAATTATATGATAAATTATAATGTATAATAAATTAAAATATATAATTAATTACAATAAATAAATGGTAAAAATCCTTTATAAATGGCTTACATACATTAAAATAATTGGTAATATATAATCATTAGAATATATAATAAATAAAAATTATAATACATGGTAAATTATAATAAATAATAAAAATATTTTATTCTAAATTGTTTCAATCCTTTAAAATAGTTGGTAATATATAATACATTAGAACATACATATAATAAATTAGAATATATAATAAATTAGAATATGGTGAAATATCTTACTGCAAATGGTTTAAATCTTTAAAGTAATTGATAATACATAATTCATTATATATAATAAATTATAATGAAATGATAAAAATACTTAATTGTAAATGGTTTATATCCTTTAAAATAATTGATATGTGATACACAGTAGTCTAATAATAAAATATAACAAATAAATGGTAAAAATCCTTTATTACCATTTATGATATTTTATAATATTAAGTCCTGTCTCACAAGGGCTGGGCCAGTTGTGTAGGGTTAACAATGACATGATAACCCTTTTAATCCTTTAGATTCAATAATCATTTCTATTTCATAATCTGATACATTTTTATTTAATATAATCCTCTATATTTTAAACAATCCTTTCTATTTAAACCTTTCAATCGTGTAAAGCACTGTTGGAACTTGAGGGTGCTGTGTTGTTTTGGGTGTTGTGCTGGTTGAGGAGGAGCCTCTGTGGGTGTTGCAGGGCCAGGGCCGGAGCAGAAGGAGCAGCAGGAGCAGGAACCGGGGGGGTCCTTGTCACCCCCAGACGGGGCAGCACCGTGAGCAGCTCCCACAGGACCTCCCTGGCCTCCGAGGGACGGCCAGTGCGCAGGGGGGGCCTCGTTGGCATCCAGGGGCCCCTGCAGGTGAGAGCCAGGGACACCTCCGGAACGATGGTCGCTGTCCAAAACTGACCTGCAGGAATGATTGCAGAACCACGGAATGGTTGGGAGGGACATAAAGCTCATCCTGTCCCACCCCCTGCCATGGGCAGGGACACCTTCCACCATCCCAGGTTGCTCCAAGCCCCATCCAACCTGGCCATGGACACTTCAGGGATGGGACAGCCACAGCTGCTCTGGGAATTCCATCCCAGCTCCTCACCACCCTCACAGGGAAGAATTTCTTCCCAATATCCCATCTAACCCTGTCCTCTGGCAGTGGGAAGCCATTCCCCCTTGTCCTGTCCCTGCAGGCCCTTGTCCCAAGTCCGTCTCCCGCTCTCTTGGAGCCCCTTTAGGCACTGGAAGGGCTCTAAGGTCCCCCTGGAGCCTTCTCCAGGTGAACACCCTCAGCTCTCCCAGCCTGTCTCCAGAGCAAAGGGGCTCCAGCCCTGGGAGCATCTCCGTGGCCTCTTCTGGACCTGCTCTAACAGCTCCATGCCTTTCAATTCTTTCTATTCCCGCACTCAGGCTGGGTCAGGAACTGCATTTAAAGACGTGACTGACCTTCCTACAATAAAATACCTTGAACACTATAATTAAAAAGATGGATAATTATCTCATTACTTTGGCTGCACTTTTAATTGGACTTCAACAGTTCAGTCACTCCTGGAGGTCATTAGAGAATAAATGAGCTGAAAAAGCCACAAGGGTTGACCAAAGAGAAATGGGGTTTTCCAGCTATTTCCGGCCATTAAAGAGGGTTCCAAAGAAGTCCCAGGCAAAGGTGACTTTGATCAGCCCTCTTGAGCTGATCCCTGAAGGAATGCAAACCCCTTCACAAGTGTCATCCCTGTTCCTTTGGAACACAGTGAAACTATCTATATTATTTAAATATTTCTTCAGGTTTTTGATGAAGATGGGAAGAATGTGACACCGCATCCCCTCTTCCAGTCAGACCCAAATACTGCCACACCCAGGCAAGGCAAACTTTATTTTCAAGTATTTTATCTGTGTTGATAATACTTATTAAGTACAGACAATCTTTTTTACAAAAATGTAAAATATATAAATTCAAATATTAAATTATTAAAAATATACAAATCTTGTTAACATTCTCTCTTTTACTAATTTAAACCAGTTACCTCTGGGTGATTATGTGCATCCAAATGACAAATTCAATTAAGTCATACAAAAAGAAGGTAAATAACTATTTGTGTTTAAAATGAAAAATCATGAGCCACATCACTGTATCAAAATGCAATAAATAACTGCAGTTGTGATTTTTAAGATAAAGAAATTGCTCTTTGAGGACCATCCTTCTGTCATGTTTCCCATGCTGGCTGTTACAACGCGTAATCCCGGAGGCTGGGATATCAACCAGGAGCAAATATAGACAAAAAATGACTTAAAAAATATAAAGTATCTCCTGAAAATAAGACATCTCTTTTTTTGAGACAATTTCTGCTTATTTCTTGTCACTGAAGGACATATGGAAGCAGCAGCACTCGGATATCACACAAATCAACAAGCAAGTCTGGCCTCGAGGGAACAGCAGAACCTGGCTCTGGACAAGACCCAACTTTGAGCTTATCTGGTAAAGAACAGACACTATAATTATAGATTTAAACTGTTCTTTGGAGCACTGGGATTTGTGAGACACTGAGTCAGCCCAGCACTTCAAAGGAACTCAGTGCTTTACAATACTTTAAGAATTAATTTGTCTTCTTTTAAATTCAGAGCGGAAAAGCACTTGTTCACCTCCTTTTTCAGCTGTGCAGGTGGGGCAGGAGGAGATGGAAGAAGAATTAACAGAGGCAGACCTGGATCAGAGAGTGGATATTTACCTCTCAGAGACAGACACACTCTGGATGTTTGACATGCCCTCTGTCATGGTGTCTGTGGAAGCAGAAGATGCTGGGAGAGTTCTGTAGGTATAGATTGGCCCCCATTTCATCTGTGTTCAAAGCCCTGGGTCTCTCTTTGACAAGGCTAAATTTCTTGCAACTCCATCACGTTGATGAAATTCATTCTTTCACTGAAAAATTAAGGCAGGTTAGGAAAAGCAGGGGGTAAGGAAAAGAGAAGCATGTGATAAGGAATTACATGACTAAATTTTCATGAAAACAGTAGGAAATCACAAACCTCTGCATTCATCTTTGTGTGTAGCTTTACAGCTAATTATTTATTAATAAAGAAGAGATAAACATACTAAGTGTTGGCTTCCTCTGAAGCTCCTCACAGTGCTTCTAGTTAGAAGGAACCATAATATTGTGTCTCCCCTTAGTATTCCCACTTCAGAGTCCTCCCTGGACTCCCATGAGCTTTGGTGGGGAGTTAACCCAGGTTTTTGGCTTATTCCCAGGAGCTGACTGGGACAGAGAGCAGCAAAGTTCTCTCCATGTGACAGACCTGTCACACAGCTTTTGGAAGCACAAAGCCCCAAAGCTGCAGCTGACAAGTCAAACAACTCCTCTAAGCAAGCTCTTTCTGCTTGTGTCCACACCAAGTTCATGGTAGGACTCCAACCCCAATGTTTGTCAATCCCACTGGTGGGCTTTTTGGGAAGAATAAGAGGATGAGCATCCAACGAATCAGGCTTCGCTGGTGTGCACAGAGGGTATGGCCAGCTGTACAGGAACAGTAATTCTTCCTGAGCACAGCAGGGGTGGGGTATGACCCACATCATCTGCTCAAATAGTGAAACCAAAATAATAAAAAATGTTCATAATTCCCACTGACATCCCTACAGAACTTGAGGGCTGGGGGAAATAGAAATGGAGCAGTTTCCTTTTTGTGTCTTGGATGCTCTGCCTTTCACTCCCAAGTGAAGAGAGCTACGTATTTCTGAACTCCTCAGAATTCCCCCAAAATTTACAGGTAGTTGGGGTAGGAATTTTTGCTGGTCCTGCTCTCTACAAGCCATTCCTGTTTTAGGACAGCATCACAAAGGTCAGAAACAGCTGCTGAGAGAAATACAAACACTGAAATAACATTTAGCAATCCAAAAACATCCAAGCAATAAATGTAAAAAATGGAGTGTCCTCTCCTGTTCAAAGACACTGAGAATTTGAATGCAGAAGTTTTTCAGAGAGTTGCCAAACACTGTCTTCTTTGTTTTCGAGGGAGCGGAATAAGATTTACGCTGACATGTGCAAAACCAAAGCTGGCAGCGAACGCTTTGAAGAGAGAATGGTGCAAACCCTGGCTGGGGCTGCCAAAAACAAGGAAGTGCAATGTGAGACAATTATCATGGAAGATAAAGGTAAAACTCAAAACACTCCCTGCAGCAGGCAGAACACTGAGAAAAGGGCTTTTTTATTTCTTCCATCTTGGGATGTTTCCTCAACTTTCACTTCCAGAGCTTTGAGTTCAGACAGGGCAGTGTGATTTGTGGTGGCCTTTTCTGGCCCTCCTAAAATGTGAACTTGTTGCTGGAACACTGTATCCATTGCAATAAAATAGTCATGAACACTAAATGAGAGCTGCTGTGCCCTGCCTGCCTCAGCACTTTGCAAGCAGAGCTTCTCCAGCTAATCCTCAGCTCTTCCCTTGAAACATGAAAGGACACAGCTTCCTTTTCCCCCTTTAACTTTTCAGTGACGCTGGTTTCTATTTCTGTTTGTCTTAATGCAAAGAAGGGAACCTCTGTTATGAGATTTAAAACCTTGGGGAAAGCAGGAAATCTTGGCAGTCTCACAAGATCGATGCAATTTTACAGAATGTACAACCTCAGCGCTCTAAAAAAAATGTGCCTTTTGTGTGTAGGAGGCCAAAGAAAACTATGGGAAATGCTGTCTAAAACATTTTTCCTTTGTGTTTGTTAGTGCATGTAAAATGAGGGAAAGAATAAAAGAAGTAGATAATCTGATTTGAAAACGTATTTGCCACTTTTTTTGAGTGCCTTGAGCATCAGCAGGGCTTGTTCCAACCCCCGTTTGAAGAGCTGAGCATATAAAGGTGAGGTTTGGGTGGGAGCTGGCCCTGCTCAAGGCCCTTGTAATAATGTACCAAAATGAGAGACATGTATAACGCAGTGAAATTCATTGCCAGGGATGATGGTCACTTCCTGGGACTTGGACAATTCACTGGATGCATCAGAAATAGAACCTGCGTCACGGGCAGAAGGATTTGGAGCCACAACAGGGGGAAGCAGCAAATCTCCCACAACGAAAGAGCAGGAGCAGTCTGTGTCTGTCTCTTCTGACAGAGGTAACATTTTACATTTCTGCCCTGTTTTCATCCTTCTAAAACAGGCACATCACAATGCTGTGTGGGGAAACTACCTGAAGAACGTGCTTGGCCTGACTGGTGCCTGAAAGAGAGTTTGCTAAAGAATCTTGGATAGGGCTGCACTGAGGCCTTTGCTGTCCACTGCCATCAGAAATTACCTTAAATAAAGATAAATAGTCAGGGACAAGGCTTGCTGGTACTCACTCACTCGGGACAGTAGAAGCAGAACGCCATTTGTGAAAAATTCCAGAATATCTCATCATACTGAGTATCTGAGCAATAAAAGAAAACAAAATTAAAGCAAGAAAAAACTTATAGTGGAAGTATTCTTTGATCCTGACAGATTCTTCTATGCTTTTTGCAGGTGGAGGAGAATTCTTATCTCTCAACTTTTATGTGCAAAGTTTTATTGTGTTAAAACCATTTATTTCCCATATTATCTGTTATCAGGCATCACAACTTCTTCTCTAATGATTTCAGAAAGCGCTGTTCCTGTCAGGAGCCAGGAAGAGGAGAAATGCCATTCAGAAGCTATATTAACATCAGAAAACTTAAAGCAAGATTTAGTTATCATGGAGAGGATTTTAATGGAGAATATTTTTCAACCCAAACTCGCGGCTTATCGGCAGATTCCTGTCCTTATAGGTTTGTTCCTTACTGAGTACCCTGTTTCCAGCACAAGGCTTTATGTCCTATTGGAAGTCAGGGAGTTATGTCCCTCACCGGATGTCTTTACAGATGACAAGTCAATTAAACAGACCAAAGAGAGGAGAGTTTTTGAGATGCCAACATGAACTTCACAGTTTTACATGCACTTTAACAGGCTCAGCGGAAGAACTGAATAAATTAACTCTGAGCTTATACCACAAATTGAGACATTCAAAATATTAGTCAAACTTGTTTCCTAGAGATAGGAGATAGAGATAAATTCTGCTACTTCTCTCACCACTTTTTGCATTGGAATATCTCTTATATTTTTTTTTTAAATTTAATTTTAGAAGGAGACTTATCACAGCATTGTGCAACTTAGCTGTGGTGTTACAGCATTGATGTGTAGCGTGGTGCTTTAAAATTTGGCATCTAACTTGAAAACAATCTATTTAAACACATTTTTAAATACATGAGATTAGAAACATTCCTGGTGGGGGTGGACATAAATTTCTACCTTGTTGCTGGGTAGCTAAATAGACTCGTTTCACACCTGTAGTACAGATCTGGCACACCACAGCCTTGTCGAGTTGCTTTCTCTGTCCCCAGCAATATTTCAGCCACAGTTTTAGAAGTTAGGATGTCTTAATTCCTCAAATCTTCACTTCACTTTTTTTTTTGCTGCAAAATATCTGCTGAAAGGGCAAATTTTTTCTTCTGATGGGAACTACTGGAGTGAGATGAGTGAAATGTTCCTACTCAGACTCCACCATATCTGTGCATTTCAGAGCCTGACATTACCTCGGACAGGGGTGATACAGCAACAGCCACGGAAGAAGATGAAGAGGAAGAGCATGATAAGGAAAAGAAGGATGAGGGAAAAGAAGGAAAAGGATTAATTGACCCATCAATGACAATAAATAAAACCCCAGAAGAAGATGCAGCTCCCAGGCTGGAACAGCTGTGGTCTTACACGTGTGATTTAACCAGCGGCCACAGCGTGAGCAGCATGGCCTGGAACAAAGTGAATCCTGTGAGTTAACAAGTCACTCCTGAGCTCTTTACAAGCAAGTGGCGGTGTAAATAAACTCCTGATTTTGGTGTGCTTTGCTGGGAGGGATCTCAGAGAGATGGGTCCATCCCTGCAATCATGTGGATTGTTTTTGGCCTTCCACATAACAACCTTGTTCCCTTAATCTACAGGTTGAACAGCAGCACCAGGCTTTCCTACACATGTATCACAACAGCTTTAATTGGTCCAAAATTTAACTGAACTTTAGCAGTGTATTTCCAAAAGGCAATTTTCTGCTAGCAGTGACCCTCAGGGCAAAGTTTACCCTGGGCAGTCACCTGAACAATGACATTAAAAAATTTGGTCTGTGATAGAACTGGCAGTTGAAATTTAAACTCCTACTACTAAACTTTATCACCAGTGATGGAGTTTATTCATGACAGTTTAGAAAACACATCTTTGGCTTTAACAGTAATCTCCCCCAAAAAGCAGCAATCATCAAACTTTAAGGATAAGATAAATAATAACAGCACAGATTTCTAAGCAGATGGCCCAAGTTTGTTTAATTTGGTTTCAGTGGAAGTGAGAATGACTCAGACACCTCCATACTCAGTCATGTAAGGCTCAGTTTTCCCCACACCCCAAAAATAATGAATGGAAGGAAGGTAAAAAGCAGGTGAGGACAAGAAACAGAAAACCAGTAAGGGCAAAAAAGACAGAAAACAAAGACCATTTCATACTGTTAGTACACCAGATCCCCAGATATTATAAAGTTGGCCACATTTAGAGGCCCCAGTCTTAGAATACAGGGCAAACAAACACCTACTTTGAAAGTGTAGGAAAAGAGAAATTAATGGAGCTGAAGACTGAAGTCTTGCTGTTTCTTTTCACTTCTGCCCATGGAAAGGAATTACGGGAATTCATTGGACCCCACTGTAAAAAGCTAAAAGCCAGGAGTTTGTGGTGCTCACTGAAGCTTCTTTTATAAGTAACCTTGAGAGAGAAAACCAGAAGTATTATTATGCATTCCATTAAATATTGCACATCAAATACAGTTATAGAACAATGTTCACCTTGTGTGTTATTCCACCTGCATATGACATGAGCGTTGTTTTTCCAGACTTTGCCCTGACGGTCACTGCTAACACAAAATTGTTGTTTGGAAATACACCACTAAAATTCAAGTTAAACTGAGAGATTTCTGTTAATTTGTGCTTTCAGGATCTTTTAGCCATTGGTTACGGAGAGTTTGATTCTAAAGATCAGAAGAAAGGCTTGGCTTGCTGTTGGTCACTGAAGAACCCCATGGTAATGAGCAGCCAGTTTGCTTTTCTTCAATGTGTTTTTCTCTGTACTATTTCTTCTTTATTTTCTTTTTAACTATAATTATCTAATCTAACTTCTCACAATAGTTCCAAAAAGAAAGTAGATTGCATAGATATAACATATATACTTTACAGATCTATCTGGAAAGGAATCCTTTTAAAATTAGCCATTTTAAAAAAATCTTGGAAATCTCAGTTATGAAGTGTCACAGTAAAAACCATCTGATTGCCATCCAATTACACAACTTCAGTTTGATTTCTTCTACAAATTTTACTTTGTCAAAACTGTGTATTAGACTAATTTAAGCCATGAATATTCAAATCTGTGATGCATCTTTACCACATCAACAACAATCAAATACTCTAGTGACTCCCTGATGCCACCCTAGACCCTTCTAGATATTTGCTTTGGAGTAACCCAATCTAACTTATTTTACAGTGTCATATTTCTGCACAATCTTTATTTTTTCCTAAATTTATCAGCTGCAGCAGGAAATAAATGGAGCAGTTTAGAACACAGTACCTGATTTCTATCTAGAAGTCACTATGGTCACTTGAGTTTTCCAGCAGAGCAATTTAGTGCCCAGTGCTGAGAAGATGGAGGTAAATTAAGAAACTACCTTAAAACATGCTTGGTATTTTTCTCCTGGTCAGTGGCCAGAGCGCATTTTCCAGTGTGACCATGGTGTTACTGCTGTGGATTTTTCCCTGGCAAGTCCAAACCTTTTAGCAGTTGGAACATCTAGTGGATCTGTTGCAGTCTATGATGTGAGGAGCCGGAACAACGCCGCATTCTTGGACAGCAGGTGAGGCTGTGACCTCCCATCTCCTCCCACTCCAGGCACCTCTCACCAAATAACACTTTGGAAAGGTGAAACAAAGGAGTCCTGTTCTTTGAAGTTTTAAGAAAATGCAGCAAGTTACCACCATATATCATTTATACTCCATGTCCTATCTAAGACAATCCTGCCCCAGATAATAAATCCTTTGGTGTGACCAGTGGTATCTTTTGGTGCTTTCTCCCTGATTCCACTTGCCAGAAATGCAGAGAACATCAGAACAGGTGAGGAGTGAGCAGGAATTAAGAAGAAAATGAGAGAGAGGAAGGTGATGAGGGAGACATTTGCCCTAAGGGCAGCTCCCCAGATCTGGGGTCTCTCCTACAAGGTACAGATTGATTTCGTGGTTCAGGTGTCACTGAAAGGTATCAGCACATAAATAGTGCCCTGAAACTAAGTATCAAACATGTTTAATAGAGAAAAAATTTTCCTGGAGAAAACAACCAATGTTTAGACTATTTTTTTTAAAGAAAAGCTAAACATTTCTATCATAAGATCTGACATTCATTACAAAGTGGAAGATTAATTATTTTTCAAATATATTGCCTTGTCTTTGTTCAGATATGATTTACCATGTGCATCTTGTGTTCCAGTGCATCCTTAAATAAACATACAGGTGCTGTGTGGCAGCTGAGGTGGGTGGAACAGGACAGAGGTGCAACAGAAGGTGACAAAAAAGAGAGACTGATGTGTATCTCAGCAGATGGGCGAGTAACTGAGTGGCTCATCCAGCAAAGACTGGACTGCATTGGTGAGCAGAGCAAAAATACCTGAAATTGCTTTGTTTAATTTCAGGTGACATTCTTTACACCAGTTATCATACACAAAAGATTTAAGATCGGCATTCCAGAGCAGCATGCGTTACTCACAGGGCTGTCACACACCTGTTTGACAAAAACTCCTTCTATTTGCACAGATCTGATGAAACTCAGGCGAACAGAAAGGGAGAAGAAGACATTACCAGGTGAGAAAGAAAGGAAAAGTGAAGCTCCGATATCTCAACAGGCAGCTGGAATGTGCTTTGACTTCCACCCAGAGGTAGGCTCAGAAAGTCCATCCTGGCTAAAGTTTTGCCCAGGAAAACTACATAGCAGAGGTGGGATCCTCAGCTGGAGTTACTTCAATACTAGTCAGGGACTTGGTACTGGGATTTGAAGCCTAAGTTTTACCCCAAAAGGATGAAATGGTAAACCAAGCCCATGAACAGCTCTGTCCTCTCAGCCACGCTACTCACATTTCCTTGGGCAGACCCTGGGGCAGTTTCCCTCTCTGTGTTCACCAAGTCTGTGAGGATCTGTTCAACATCTCCCAAGTCCAGGACATAGGGTGCTGTGCTTCTCTTTATCCAGCTGAGTTTTTCTTCCGCAGAGCACTTGAAGAATTTATGCCTTTTCCACACGGACTGCTGAATGTCCAAGGTTTTCAGGAGTCAAAAATCCCAGCATAAGTTCTGCATTGATTGAGAGAACACATACAGGAAATGTGCTACATTCTGACCCCTCTATACTCACCTCACACACCCTGGCCCAACAAAGCAGCTCCACCTCAGCTCTTCAGAGCCTGTCTCTGCCATACTCATCCAGCCCTTTACAATTTCTAGATAAATCGGTTAATCCAACTGAGGCTTTTTTTACCTTTCTTTCAGGATACGGATATTTATCTTGCTGGAACAGATGAGGGCCACATCTACCAGTGCTCTTGCTCAGGCAAAGAGCAGATTCTGGGAACATACAGAGGCCATAAAGTGAGTGATGCACAGAAAACATAATGACAGCAGAAACCATTCAATTAAGTTCAAAAATGTAACAGTTTCTTTGCTTATAGTATAATGTCTAATAATATATAATTATATATATGTATATATAAATGTAACATTATAAATGTAACATCTGCAACAAAAGAAACCTAAAGTTCTCTTCTTATATTAAGAATGAATTCCCCTGGCATGAAGCATCACAGTCTTACAGGATTACTTTCTACACTAAAAGGATTTTTTAAAGTACTTTATTAAAACTTCTATAAACTGGTTTAAAGCTTTAGTCCTGGCTTAAGAAAATAATCAGTAATGTGATTGTCCTGTACAGTTAAATAGTCTTATTTCTGACAGAAAGATGGGTAGCTCTACAAGAGATTCTGTAGCTCTACAGTAACACCAAGTTGTTTTTTGTTTCTCCCCAAACTCCAAGGGTCCTGTGTACAGAGTGGCCTGGAATCCATCCAGCACAGACATGTTCCTAAGCTGCTCTGCAGACTGGAGCACCATTTTATGGCACCGGGACTCACAGACGCCCCTTTTAACTTTCAGTTCTGTCAAAGCTTTTGTTCATGACATCATGTGGTCTCCAAAATCAGCCTTCATATTTGCAGCAGTGAAGGAAAGCAGGGTAGAAATCTGGGATCTGAGTGTCAGCATGTAAGTAATTACTTTTCTCAAAGAAAATTCTGAAACCTTATGGCATGAAGGCTACAAATTATTGCCTAATCAAAATTATCAGATCAGGACAGCTTATTCAGCTGATGTTATTACCAGAGAAATGGAGTTAGAACAGGAGCTGGATGCCTCACGGAGCTGATAAAGGGTAAAACTGCCTGTTTTTTCTGCAGAAATCAGAGATTTTACCACTGCCATAGTTAAAAGACAAAACATCAAAACTGAGCTACTTTTATAAAATACGATGGTCTGAAGCTGAGATACCTCTCATGTTTTCCCATTCCTGTGCACCACATGCACAAATCATGGGTGGCTCAGTTATCTGTGGCCTTGCACAGGTGGTCTGTATTTATTACTGACGGCGTCAAACCCACGGTGGATCCAGAGGCCCCCAAATCCTGCAGTAGCATAATGCAAGTTATTAATATAATATCCATATTACCCACCACCCCCCAGATCAGGCAATAGGACAGGTTTTAGGCAACCGGGATATCTTAGTTAATAGCAGCTGGAAATTTTGTTCTGGCAGAGACCAAACAAAATATTGCCTCACTTCCTGGTTTTTGAGTTAATCTAGAACACAAGAAGTGAAATGTGCAGCATTTCTCAGGCTGCTGTACTGACAGGCCACTGCACTCAGGTCAGTGCACGGTACCCATTAATTCCTGCCTTGTCTGGGTTGCAGCTTCAACCCCGTGATCTCCCACGCTGCCAACCCAGAAGCCAATCTCACGTCCATCCTCTTTGCCAAGAACACCAACTGCCTTCTGCTGGGAGACAGCCTTGGTGGAGTTGGGGTGTGGGAGCTGTTCAACTTGGATGCTCCTGGCAGCAACGAGGTACGACACGCTTGGAGAACGGCGGTGTGCTCAGAGGCTGAGTGCTGCTCTGGGGCCTCATTCCTCAGGAAGGAGCTACTGTGAAAGATCCAACTAATGAAAACTGAAATAGGTGGAATCACATACAATTCTATAACCAGATTAAAGCTGAGGTTGTTCCTGCTCTTCTGCTGCCATACCACTAGAAACTTCAGGAACAGTTTGGTCAATGTTGGGTTCACTTGACTGCAAGGAAAGGTCAACTGCAGGTTTCACTTGGTTGCAAATCCAGAGGTACACCACAGAGCTGGATTTGGAATGCAAGGGCAGGGAGGTGACACTCCCTCTAAACAGTCTGCAGGAGACTCTATTGGGCTGAATGCCCTCACCTGCTCCACCACAGACACAACGTGTCCTCCCCTGGCCACCAACACAATGTCTCACCATGTGGGTGTCAGACCCAGCAGACCCTTGTAACTGTGGCCAGTTTATAAAGTGGGACTGCTGCTTTTTATAAATCCCTTCAGATTACACGGTGCAAAACACTGAAGCTGGAGAGAAGGAAAATGCTGACGTCAATCTAACCTTCATTCTTAGGATATTATGGATCAATAATTCACAACTGTCAGCATTGCAGGTAGAAACCCTGGTAATTACCAGCCTCGTTTGCCAAGTGCTGTAAACCGCAACGATATTTCCCTTAAAAACAAAAAGTGAGGGAGGCTATTGTTGTTAAACTCAGAAAATAAAATCAGTGGTTTTTTCTCCCACAAACCACCATGAAGCTGCCTGAGTCCTCTGAGCAGAGAAGTTCGTCAGTTATTCAGTACAGGGATAATTTCCTGGGTATGTCACCAGAACAGAACTGAAAGTGCTTCACTTCACAGGCTTTGGGCACGTAGCATAACTGGTCACATTATCCAGAGGGAGCCCCACTTTCCAGCATCACCCATTTCTGTCACTCCCTTTTCTTGTAGCAGCAAAGTCTCCCTAGGCTTGGGTATGGACAAGGCTTAGCATGACCGTACTACAGCCATACTACAGCTAATGCTCAGGGCAGGTAATTACTTAGGGACAATCACATCTAAGTGCAGCTACTATACATGTATCATCTTGAAAATTAACTTCTTTTATAAACAAGATATATCTGTGTATGCTGTCAAACATGACAGTACAAATGCAATCCAACCAGGTCTGCCAAAAAAGTGCTGTTTTCCAGGAGTACTCTTAGAGGTAACCATAGCAGTAACAGAATTCCAAGGAAGAACCAGTTCTTTTTATTCTTGTTTTACAGGTTGGTACCTTGCATGACATCGTTTGTCCAGTTGGAGCTGTTTAACAGTAACTGCTGCCCCTTCTCTGTTGGGAAACAGCAGGAAAGACACGATGTAGTATGAACATTTATTCCTTTGCAATAATTAAAGTTTCTCTTTGAAACCACACCGGTTAGAAATTGCTTTCAAATGCCCTAACTTTTCCCCCAGAAGTCCCCCTCCTTAGACAAACAGTGTTAACACATGGATGGCCTTCTCTGTAATACAGATAATGGGAAAGTCTCCATAGTCTTTTCTCCTTTAGTCTTTATCCTTTTTTTCCCCCAAGGTCTTTTCTCCTTCGGTTATTCAAAACCAAAACTCACCTCCATGCTACAACCTCAGCCCTTACTAGATGTATCTGTACCTTCCCAGTGAAATCACCCAGTAAATAAATGGACTTTCCATCAGTTCCATCTTCTCCCATAACCCACCACCAAAGGTGAATGCTGAGTTTTGAGTGATGTCAGGCAGGGAACTTGCTCAGCCTGCATGCTGGTTGGAAACAGGCAGAGTTTGGCTGCCTAGGCTGGATTTTGGGGGGGCAGAGCAGAAGAAACAGAAAAAAAAGATTTTCAGGGACTTCCTGCCCACAGAAAATACTAAAATCCCCACAGAGCAGTGATCAAGCACAAGTCGTAGCCCTGCTGCCCAGCGAGCACATTATGTGTGGAGATGTGTATTTTATAGATACAGAACGTTCAGCCTCTCTGATTACCCTGACAATAAACATCCAACATTTAACACATCACTGAAGTTAAGGATCATTTGTGATGCATTAACATTCACTTACTTCTATGTGCTGCACATCCAACAGGGAACATGCAAACTTACCCGACATAAAATAAATCTTTGTGCACTTCAAAGACAGACACCCATTAAGATGAATCATGTGTTAATCATTATTACAAATCTGAACAAAATACACCATGTATTTTCCATCATCTGTTTGCTTACCAATGCTGCAGCTACAAAACAAGCTTTCTATCAAGGCTGTAACGCATCCTAACCCACCCTGCACACAGTGAAAGCTAATTAACTGTAAGATTATGGTACTGGAAAACCCTTGTGGTGTTAGGAAGGGCTCAAGATCTTCAAGGTTCCTCCTGTAATTTTTGTTAAACATGGAATTTCCAACCTTGTATTTGATAGATTTTCTCCTTCAGGCATTTCATTGCAAGAATTTTTTATAGAAGCTTACAGCAACTGCAGCCAACAACATCCCAAGCATTAGGAAGGGGCTGTGTTTATAACCAATTTACTGATATCTGGTTCCAGAGCAGCTCCACACTGCTTTAGTGGACCCACTTCTGTCTTTCAGGTGTTACCAAAAATCAAAGGATGGCCAGGATGCTGACCTGTAGCTATTCTGTGCTTTCTGCAGTGCCATCTCCCCCTCTTTTCTATGCCTTTTTGGACAAGGGCCACAACTACAGGCCTCACAGCCCCCCAAACCCCTCAATACCTGATTTTCTCATGGGGGCCTGGAACTGGCAGGTTTTTCCTCCCAGTCATCCTCAGTCACCAGCTTGGCTTGTGAATAAGGCGGGGAATGAAGAGGTGCACAACTGCAGACATCATGGGAAGGAGTTAACTCCCTTTTTCTTTGGGATCACTAACACTGAAAGACCCCCTTGCTTAAACTGTGATAACAGGCAGGACTGGGTAACAGGCTGCTCAGCACACCTGTGTGGGGAACAGACATAGAACCCATTACCTACAGATCATGTCATAAACACCCTTTTGCTCTTGCAGAACACACATTAACAGCGTCCACCTGAGCCTGTACCCCATAAACATGTTATACCTCACGTGTTCCTAGTAAACCAGTTACGGAGCCTTAAGAAGTGTTTAATACTTGACCAAGATCCCAAAGCACTTCAAACATGACCGGAAACAAGTGATTAACATGTTTTTAGCAAACATGAAGTCACCCCCAGAATGGGCCATTACCCAGTGGAGCGCACAGGCTGTGGGTATAAATGGGAAGGTTCCAGCAGAGCTCCACACTCGGCGTGGCTGGTCCCTCCTGCCCTGCCCACACCAGGCACGAAGAACCCTCAGCACCATGAGGGGCACAGCGCTGGCACTGGCCTGTCTAACTCTCCTGATCGTGGCACAGGGAGGACAAGGGGAAGGAAACACTGTGAGGCTCTGTGGGAGAGACTTTGTCAGAGCTGTCGTGTTCACCTGTGGCGGCTCGCGCTGGAAGAGGCATCTGACCGATCATCGCTATCTCTTGGGTAAGTACCAATTGAAGCATCGCAGGCTCATCCCCAGTGCATCCAGCTCCAAGGGGACTCAGAAGCAGCACAGTCCCTGCAGGCTGTGCCTCGGGAGCCCTCCATTCCCACTGTTCCCCTCAGTAGCTCCAGCACCAGCAGCACGGGCTGTGCTGGGATACAGTAAGCGAAGCACTGCAGCTCCACGTGTTCTCTCTCCTTCCAGCTTGCCTAGCTTAGCTCCCTGTGCTATTTTGCTAAAAAACAAAACCATCTAGCTCAAGATTTTTCAAGTCCACCTGAGGAACAGGAGCAAAACCAAGGCTATCATTGAAAATCTCTCTGCCATCTCGTTTCAAGTGCCAGCGGTGAGCTTTGCTGCAGGCAATGCAAGTGTCTTACTGCTGCCTGCACTTTCCCCACTAGAAACCAGAAACTTTATCACAACTTAAGAATATTATAAATAAAGCATGTTGAATATTTACTCTGCAATTTAAGTATCTTCACAAGCTGTCATATATATCTATACTCATTAGCGCATTTCTGGATAGCAAGAAAATTCAGCCATTACATGCACTGCTAGGAATTTGCACTCTGACAGATTAAAATAAATAGAAAACAAGAAAATAACTGAGGCAGATGACAGGAACACAGACTTTCTGCACTTCCCACACCTGCATTTTTGGAAAACTTCTTATAGCAGCAGCTCTAAACAAATACAAAAAGAAATGCCACCCACAACACCCTCCGTGAGAGTCTGGTGCTAAACTAAGCAAGAACTACTACACCTTTACAAACTCCAGAAGGCAGTGCCCAGATGTCCAAAAGTGTTTAAAATGCAGCTGAAATGCGAGTGTAATTGAAGTGGGAACACCCAGGACTATGAAATTGTGGTGTAGGTGATGCCTTAATGCAAAACTTGCATATCAGGAATCTCACAGGCAGGCCCAAGTTAATGTGCCAGTCAAGTGCCATTTACACATCTAACCACAGTTTTTCCCCTGGAAGCAAATATATCAGTGTAAGACTGACAAGGCAACAAAGAATACTCTTAAATATAAATCCATGAATTACTGGGTTTTTAAACACATTGCTCAGACTGTGAGCAAGTCAGTGATCTGGTACATGTTGGTTGCTCACACCAGAAACATGGAGCGTTTCCCTCCCTGGCTGCAGGTTGGTGTGTCTTTCTAGTAAAGATAAATACTTAAATTACACATTTTTCCGTGACTTCTAACTCTTCGCTTCTAATTTTTATGCCACAGAGAGTGAAAACCCCCAGCCTTTCCCACACAACGGTGACGCCGACTCCTCAACCTACACAGACCAGAGACTGGGGACCGACCGCGAAGAAACCCACGAGGTCAAGTCCAAGCCAGAGCAAGACTTGCACATCAGCAAAATGTCTGTGCTAAGCAAGCGTGAGGCAGCCAAGCTGCTCACCACATCCTGCTGCAACGTGGGCTGCAGCAGGAGGGAGATCAGCTCCCTGTGCTGAAACGGGGCTGCTGAGGCTCAATATCACAGCTTCCATAGATTAAAATAATCATGACATAAACCACAATTAGTTCAGTTGTGTTCTTTAATTGTAGCTTTACCCTTCTGAGCGTTAAATGCCATAGTGCACACTAGCAAGTGGTTGCAGTGACAATTCAGGTTGACTGGATTTCACAGGGTTTACAAGAGGTTTAGTTAAACTCATTCATGAGTACAAATATTTCTTTCTAACTAACTACTCTTCTAGTTTCAGCTTTGCATGTAAAATGTAATAAAATAAGCAATTTATGATAGGTTTGTTCTCTTACTCAGGAAAATCCAACAGCAGGTTTCAGCTGGGAAACAGGAGAAGCAAAAAGTCTGGTTTCAGAATCAGAGCAAGGCACAGGAAGCTCTGTCACACTGCAAGGTCAGCCAGACCCCAACCAGTGGGGAACAGCTGCACCAGGAGAGACCTGGGACCATCAGCCCCAGCATCTAAACTGGATGGGCATAAACCCACAGTTTATCTCCTAATCCAGCTGCTTTCAATAACATTTCCCTTAAGTCCAATTCAACAGACAGTTAATCTGCACCCAGGGAGACTGAACACACTTCTGAGCTGAGGGCTGTATTGCGTCTCTTATCTAAGGGCAGGTATTGGCTGAGAACCGCAGCTGAAATTCAGTATTCTCGATTCAAGCACTTTCACTAGAAGGGCCCAGGTATGTCAGATTTATATACTCTAAACACAGTATCATTTAAAGACAATTTTCACTTCATTTCGCTGGTCTTCTTCTTCCTAGATGGAGAGGGACTGACAAGGCCATGGACTGGCAGGACAAGGGGGAATGGTAGCAAACTGAAAGACGGCAGGGTTAGATTGGAAATTGGGAAGAAATTCTTTCTCGTGAGGGTGGTGAGGCCCTGGCACAGGCTGCCCAGAGAAGCTGTGGCTACCCCTCCCTGGAAGCGTCCAAGGCCAAGTTGGACCTGGTCTAGTGGAAGGTGTCCCTGCCCATGGCAGGGGGTGGAACTGGATGAGCTTTAAGATCCCTTCCAACCCAAAGCAGTCTGGGATTCTATGACTCAAGCAGAACTAGCTACCTTCTCTCAGCCACCTTTTCTGTGCTCAGGCCTGGCATGCACTGAATGCCTGCAAACATCATTAACAGAGATTGTCTTAAAATGCTCTTGTTTTACTCTCCAAAAAACCCTCTGTGGTTTCTGCTCAGGGATCATGGAATGAAGGCAAATTCAGGGAGATAAAAACATTATAGGGAATATTCTTAAAATATTATTTTCCCTGCAGGAAAAGTTCTGAAAGTAGCGAGAATTAGGTGCAAAACAGTGTGTCAGAGAGAACCACTTCCCAGAGAAAGCTCTGGGAAACAGTTAATTACATTTACCCAAAGGCTCACAGTAGCCACATTTCAAAACAGGTGAGAGCACTTTGGTCCTTCACAAATGTTTTCAACAACAGAAACAGGAAGAGTTAGGCTGAACTTCCATTTCTTCTGCTGTTAAGCTCAACTACCTCCCTATTCAAAATACACACCATAGACATTTGCAACAGCAAACAGGGAAGTGTTCTTGAACACATACGATGAAAACGTGTCGCTCACAGGATCCCACAGGCACCTGCTCCCAATCTGCATGCTCTGCTCATCCAGCTGCCCAATGTGTGTCACCACCACAATCTTGTACCGTGGGATCACAAGGTCTTTCACCCGCGCTTTAACCATCTGCAGGAGAAAAACAAGTTTAGTCCATGTGTTCAAAAATGGAGACAGACGTTTAGCAGGGCAGGACAAGGGGAAATAGTATTAAACTGACAGAGGATGCGGTTAGACTGGATACTGGGAAGGAATCCTTCCCTGTGAGGGTGGTGGGGCCCTGGCACAGGTTGCCCAGAGAAGCTGTGGCTGCCCCATCCCTGGAAGTGTCCAAGGCCAGGTTGGACAGGGCTTGGAGCAACCTGGTCTAGTGGAAGGTGTCCCTGTCCATGGCAGGGAGTGGAACAAGATGAGCTTTAAGGTCCCTTCTAACCCAAACCATTCTATTAACTCGTATCCACGTGCACCCTCCTCAGAGCAACCCTCCTCCACCCTTTATTTCACACTTTACAGGTATTTTGGGGGATATCTGGGGAGTTCCCCAGCAGCCACCTCCCTCACACCCCATCGAACCATGAGGGCAGAATATCCACCTGCTCCCTCCTACCTCAGCGATGTCCTTCGCCACCTCCCTGCACTGCGCCGGCTCGTAGCGCTGCTCCCTCAAGTAACTCTCCACCACATCCCTCAGGATCTCATCTACTGCTGCCCCCGGGAAGCGCTTGGAAGGACCTGTGAGGCAAAGCTCGGGCTTATGAGGGAAAAGCTGCCGGGCGGAAGGCGGTTTGGAGGTGCAGTCGTACCCAGACCCACCCGAGCGGGGGTCGCTTATGGCCGCACCGCCCTCCATCCCCCTCAGCGCTCCTCCACCCCCTCAGCGCGGAGGGAGGCGGAAGGGCGGCGGCCAGTGCCGCCCTGCGGCCGCCGGGAAGGGAAAGGCGCCCTCCGCGTTCCTGGCCCCTGCGTTCCCGGCCTCCGCCTGTGTGCTCACAGCCTCCCGGGGGACTGTGTATTCCTACGGCTGCCCTGGGTCCCCATAGCTTCCACCAGTCCCTGTGTGTCCGTATAACCTCCCACAGGTGCCCGTGGCTAACACAAGTCACCACAGCTTCCATAGGTCCCTGTGTGCACTTACAGCCCCCTAGGTCCCCATGGCTTTCACAGGTCCTGGTATCCCCTTACATCCCACACAGGTTTCCCATGGCTCCCACAGTCTCCACAGGTCCTTGCATGTCCCCACAGCCCCCTCAGGTCGCTCACAACTTCCACATGTCCCCACGACTTCCACATGTTCCCACAGACTCCCCCAAGGTCCCCACAGTATCCACAGGTTCCCACGTACACCTAAAAGTCCCAGGTCCCTGTGGCCCCCACAGGTCCACACAGCTCCCCCCAAACGTCCTATGGTCCCCCTGGGGGTCCCCATGGGTTCCTATAGCCCTCACAGATTCCTATGACCCTTGTGGATCCACATAGACCCCACATGTCCCTACAGTCCTGACATATGCTCATGGCCTCCATGGATCCTCTCGAGCTCCATCCGTCCTCGTGGTCCCTGTGGATTCCCAATGTCCCCACATGCCAACCCTGACCTGTCCCCATGTGGGACACTGTGCATAACTCCAGCAGTGATGACAGGTTTTGGGCCAGAGATGATTTTTTCTGGGCAAGGGACCCTTTTTTGGGCCAGCCCCCGATACCTCTGCCCATCTCCTCTGGCTTCTCTTGCTTATGGAAGCAAAGCTCACTCAGAAAAAGTATTGTTTTACTGGTTTTGTTTATTTTCAAGGAAAAAATAATAATCACATTTAAATTGCAACTCAATTGGGTATTTAATGTGGATCTTATGTATAGAATTAATAAACTTTGTTCTGACATGGGGATTTATCTGTCGCAACGTTATGCGTGGTAAATAATTGCATATTCGAGATTCGGTGAAATGGGTGACAGGGAGAATGGAGGAGAGACATTTATAAAAAACAGTATTTACAAAAATGATATCCACATAGTTGTACTCTAATCTATAAGGCAAGTAACATTTAAAATATGTTGTTTCATGATTATCTTCAACAAGTCAATACAACACATTCATATTACCAGTGGTCAAATACAAAGCTTCGCTGCAGTAGTCCCTGTGCAACAAACCTGTACGTCTTTTACAGTTTTTTTTTTTTCTCTGAGAACAGTAGGAAAGCAGCAAAGTTTTCATCACAGACTAAGCAGTACCTAGGCCATCATAGACTAAAGGTATAATATATCTCATTGCACGTTTAGGCAAAAAAGGCCAGCCATTCATTAACTTATTTAACTTAAATCTTAAAAATAGACCTGTGTATCTTAATCCACAAATATTTATAAACATTTTATACATGAGGGAGTTAATAAAATGATACAGGGTGATACCTGGGGAAATCTGATTCACTGCTGGGGTGTCCTGGTGAGGTTCTCCTGCATTCCATGCCCTCCACCCACCAGCCCTGGCTGCAGGAGAGGAGCTTCACAACACATCCCAATGGGATTCCTCGCTCACCACAATGAACATCTCCATGTTTTATATAATCCAAGCAACCAGGTGATTTCATCAACCTTAAAGCATTTTGGAGTGGAAAAGCCCATCCCTGTGTGGATGAGAAACCTGACAGCAGGACGGCTGTACCCAGAAAGAGTGGGATTTCTAATGGAGGAACAAGATATCCCAAATGCCTCACTAAAACCTGTTGTGTTTCACCACATCCTACATGGCCTGTTGCAGAGTCCTGCTTGTCTGAAAACCTTGGAAGAGCATCACCACTTTAACGCTCATGGTTTCAAGAACCATTGCCAGCAGCATCATCCCTCCTAAAGGGAAAGGGAAGGCAGAAGCAGGGTGTATTCCTGCAAATCTTTTCCTAGCCTTGCAGTGAAATAAGAATTAAAATCCTGATTGAAATAAGAACTAAAATCCTGATTATCATAAAACCTCCCAAGCTCTGCAAGGATTACTTTCCTTGGGAAATGGTGAGAAAAAGAAGAACAGAAGAATTCTGGCTATGAAGTGAAATCTTTGAGGCAGTAATTTCTTATCAGGAAAGTATGACATGATGTTACATATAAAATATGTCAAGCTTCAAAATTAAGTGTTTTAACCACGATGTTTTCACATAGAACCAACAGAAGAGTAGGGGAAAAACCACTCCATACTTAGTGTATGGATGTGAGGTTTTTTTAAGATGTTGGGTGTTTGGGTAACAGATCCATGGGCTGTATATCAAAAAAAAAGGTGGAATGGAGCAGGATTCCTCTGTGACCCAAAACTGCCCCAGGTGCCCAGTGGGCCTGGAAACAGTTGCTGACAGAGATTGGTAGCCAAGGATGAGGTCTGAATGTTTTTAGTAAAAGATGTTTGATTCCTTCTTAAGTCTTTTAAAAATCTTCTCAGTGCACTCCAGTCTTTTAAAATGCCTCTGCTGGGAGAAAGGGAAGTGGTAACTCTTTATGTGATACTTGTGCTGGAGGAATCTTGGGTGGCTGCAGCCTTCCCTCTCCATCCTCTTCCTGCCTGGCTAAAACAGGATGACATTCCAACAGAATTTTCTAGGTTTTTCCCATCTGTGTTTTAAAAAACTTTTAATAGATAAAACCTGAAAGGGCAGATCAAAGGCAAAGTAATTTAAATGAAATCCTGAATGACAGCAAAAATAAGAATTATTGAACAGGAGAGCGATATTTAAGAGGCACCAAGTGCAGGCACCAAATGAAAAGCTCATTATTTGGTAGTATTTCATACTAGTGAGTGATTTCATAGTTATTAAGAAATACCGTTAAAGTAGAAAATTGGTCTGAAAGGTCTCCTGTGAGGAGCACCATAAGCTGACTGAGAATCCTGACTGCTTACGACAAACAGGAGAAAAATTACCAAAAAAATTTACTTCCTGCTCTTGACATCTAAAAACCCAAGTCTTCGGGTGTCTGTGGGGGAAAACCCTCCTGCTCCATCAGAGGAACTTTGACTCTGCAGGTGTGGGCTGCTGAAATTCCCAGGGGAAAATTCTTCTGGGAGAGGTTGCTGAGACAGTCTAAAGGGAAGGGTCCATGGGAGTAACTGAGCTAAAGCCTTTCTATGCATGCATCCATATATTTTTATTTAATGCCTCCTTTATTTGTCCTTTTTTTCACTCAGGTAGATCAGAGTGCTGCTGAGCTCAGGAGTGCTAGAGCTGGGCAGTGCCAGAGGGTTGAGCCCCCTTTCCAGCCTCAGTCTGACTTGGCAAAAGACCTGCTGGACCACATGCTGGGAAACAGAGCAGTGGTGCTTCCTGCTAGGAGTGCTCCCAGGGCTGGAGCCCCTCTGCTCTGGAGACAGGCTGAGAAAGCTGGGGGTATTCATCCTGGAGAAGAAAAGGCTCCAGGGAGATCTTAGAGCCCTTCCAGTGCCTAAAGGGGCACTGGAAGGGGACTTGGAGAGGGACTTGGGGCAAGGGCTTGGAGTGATAGGACAAGGGGGAATGGCTTCCCACTGTCAGAGGGTAGGGTTAGATGGGATATTGGGAAGTAATTCTTGGCTGTGAGCGATATACATCCCTATACATGCTCCTATTTGACGCTCTACATTAAACACTCAGACCAACCTAAGCTGCTGCCCATAACCTTTTTCTGCTGAGACCTTCTTAAAGCCAGGCAGGAAGACCAGGCTCCTGCACTTTGGACTCGGGAACAACAACAGTTGTGTTCCCCACATTGGGTAACACTGGGGTGCCACATTCGTACGTGCAAGAAGACAAACGCCCAGCAAAACCAGCATCCCTGTGGCACTCTGCTAAAACACTATGCAAAAAAACTGGCCAAAGCAGTATGGAAGGAACCTGTCCTCTGTCCCAAACTGCTGGTTTTGGTCCTGGTGTTGTGGGTTTGGTGTCACCTGCCCATGGCTGGAGGGGAAACCATATCCCTGTGGGGCTGGAAGTGTGATGGCACATTGGACACAGCCCTGCCAGCCAATTCACCCCAGAAAGTGCACAGAACTGTCCCATCTCTCTACCTAGGCCACAGGAGCTGCATCCCAAAAAAGTGACTCCATTTTGTGCCACAGCACAAATGGGACGAGCTTGGAAGCTTTGGGTTATGGGTTTTTCTGTTTAAAAAGCATTCAAAAACCCAATGCTATGTAAACACCTTGTCTCTCAAATGAAATATAAAGTAAAATCTCTATGTTCTGGGAATATTTACACAATAAACCCCTTATTTTTGGGCCTATGCCATAGATCTCTTTTGGAAGAATGAGTTTGTAACAGTTGTACACAGCATGAAGTGATGTGATTCTTAGGGTTTGCCCTGTATTCCTGTGTCAGAAAGGGGTGGGTTACACACTTTATACATATTTCCAGTTCAGGGGGAAAATCATTAATGGAGTGGGACACTCCATCCAGGAGCACTGCTGAGTGTACTTCCAAAATCTGCCAAGATGTGGGAAGTTGCAGAACCAAATTGTGCTTTATCTTCCCTGTTGCTGCCTTTTGTGAATGCACACGCACAGCTCACCCCTCAATCTTACAAATCACAGCCTGGGAGTCACCTCAGACCTGAAATATCTCCAAATTTCCTTATTTTTTTTTCAGATGGGCACCGCTCTCTGTTTTTCTACATCAATCCAAACTGCTCAATAATCAAGCACATCCTAACATGCTCAGTCTAAGTTTTCCTATGCAAATACACAAGCCTAATCCTGGCAACATTTGTGACTGTAAAATCAGAACTATTTGTCATCTTACACATTCCCGAAGTCTCCAGCACCCAGTTCAGTGGATGCTCCTGAGCTTCTCTGTGCATCTGAACTGCAACTGTGTTTAATTTTGTAAAGAGCCCTTCTTTTCTTTCCCAATATTGCCAAATTCTCCCATTAAACAAGCTCCACATCTCAACAGATGCTGTGCCATTAATGCCACCAATGCTATCACCATGTTGCCAGAAGTAGGATGAGACCAACGTCAACAAGATCCCAAACGCTGCACAGGGATGAGCAGCAGGACACCAGCTCCCAGGAAAAACACAGAGGGATAATTTTTTGATCCCCAGCCTCCCGTTTAGCACTTTCATGTATTTTCCCATCTCCAGGAGAGAGCTGCTCCCAGTGCCAGCAAGGCTGGCTCTTGCCCCACTGTATTTTGGCAGCTCCCCAGGGAGTTGTTTCTCAGTCCATACACACTTTCCTGCCTTAGTGGTAAAATGGAAAGGCCTTGGGGGGCTGCATGTCTTTAAAACATTTTCTAGACCCATAGGGCTTTCAAAAATGGGGGGAAAGGCAGAAAAGCGAGCAAAGGAACGTAAAAATGCAACCAAAAATCTGGAGGCAGCTCGGAAAACGCATCCTTAAAAACAGCAGGAACATTTCCTGACAGCGCTGTGAGCTCAAATTTACCACCCAGTCTCTTTGCTGCTTATTTCCTTATCTGAATCCCTGCAAAATATATGGACATGGGGTAAAGAGAAACGTTGGTCACCTACATGCTGCCGGGACTCCTGACAGGGAATCTGCAGCTGTAAGAGAACACGGGGCAGGTTGGGAATTTGGAGTGAAAACTCCTTGTAGTTTTTTTTCCTGGGAGACTGTGCTAGGAACCTCCACCTTTACAGCGATATTTCACTGGAGTTAAACCAGCTAAACCTGAAGATTAAGCTTTTATTCATCGCTGTGAGACGTACTAAAGACTGAAGGGAAAGTAAATCAGCATGTGGGCTCTACTGAACTCTCTTTTGATGAGGCACCCCCTTCATAACAGCTACCAGTATTGTATTTAAATTTTATATATTGACAAAATGTAATCTACCTCTGTAAGCATTGTGCCATTCAACAGTACTACTATTAGATTTATATACCACAGTTTAAATTACATCCATTTCATGAATGGTAAAATGCTAAAACTCAAGTGTCTAACTGCCAAAATACAGCCTTACTGGAATGAGTACAATTTACAAATACAATAATTACATTTTAAAACCATTAACAATGTTACATCTAGAAGTAAATACTGTAGGACTGGTCAAGACGGTGTTTTCCAAGGAAAAAAAATGCTGAAAGTTGTCGACACTTCCAACAGAAATGTCCCAAGTGCAGGATTTAGTTCATTTTCCTTAAACTGTAGTTAAAACCCGTTCCACACACAGCAGTCCTTGGGTATTTTCCATAGAATTTTCCACAGACTTGCATAAGCTTCCATCAGTTATCAGCCAAGTATTTACCTAGAAATGGGATCAGAAATCAACTGAGGGGAGGGAGCAGCCCTGGTTCCTAAGGGATGGTTGCCCACCTCCGCCAGCCCCGCTCCCACAGGGCACACGGGAAAATCCTTGTATTTCTCTGCAGCAGATCCCAGACCTTGCCTTTCATGGAGGAACACCTGAGCAGGAAAGAGCCCATGAAATTCCAGGCTCCCATAAGTGGCAGCAGGATTTATGTCATGCAGTGGAGCTGTTGCCCCTCTGTCCCCAGCCAGCCCCATCACGCTGAGCTGTGGCAGGAGCTCTGGGCTTGAGCAGCCAACAAATACACAGCAGGAGCATTCCCAGCATCCCAGCACAGGCAGAGAGGAGCCGCTGGCGAGGCACCTACCTGCTGCAAACCTTTTCTTGATGAGGGAGAAGCGATACCCGGCGCCCACGAGCTCAATGTCGCAGCTGGACAGGGTGCTGCCCTCGCTGGTGAACTGCACGGCCAGTGGGGCCGGGCTGCTCGGCCCCTCTGACAGCTGGAACCGGGCCAGCAGAGACCCCACACCTGCAATGGAAGTGCCACATGAAACCCTTACAAGCCTGGAGAGGCACACGGAGCACCCCAGCACTGGGTTTGCCAGCAAAGCTCTCTAATGGCTTAAAACGTTTCTTATATTGGGCCCCATGATATAAGAAATGTACGAAACTATTAGAGAGTGTTCAAAGGAGGGCAACGGAGATGGGGAAGGGTCTTAAGGGGAAGTTGTGTGAGGAGCAGCTGAGGGCACTTGGTCTGTTAAGCTGGAGAAGAAGAGAATGAGGGGAGACCTCATTGCAGTTACAGCTTCCTTGGGAGGGGAAGAGGAGGGGCAGGCACTGATCTCTGCTCTGTGGAGACCAGTAGCAGGGAATGCCCTGAAACTGTGTCAGGGAAGGTTTAAGTTGGATCTTAGAAAAAGGTTCTTCCCCCCGAGGGGGTGATTGGGCACTGAACAGGCTCCCCAGGGCAGTGGTCACAGCACCAAGGCTGAGAGAGCTCAAGGAGTATTTGGATGATACACTGGGGCACATGGTGTGACTCTTGGGGATCCTGTGCAGGGCTAAGGGTTGGACTTGATGATCCTTCCAACTCACATATTCTGTGATTCTGTGAGATGCCCAAAGCATCACAAGTGAAGCCCAGTCTCATGGGGCTCCCCAGCCCTCCAGCATCCCTGGGGCAGGAGGCAAACTCCTCTCATCCTCCCAGCAGAATTTGACTTTTCAGACACCCCAGCGATAAGGAGCAGCTGAGTATGTGGGTTACACATGGAGAAGCCACTTGTGGGAGACTGTGGTCACCTCAATGGGGACACAGTGTGGGGCCTCAGCCTTCAAATACAGAAGGTCAAGGGAAAAAGGACTTGGCAAACCACCACATCCAAACCTGGTGTGTTAATACCCTCCTGTGATGCCAAGGCACTTGGCAAAGCAGCACCAGTGGCACGTAGCCCTGCTTTTCTAAGCTCTGCTTTAAATAGCATTCTCCCTGGCAAGCCCCAGCAGGAATCTGTGTGTCTGGGCTTGTGTGCCGGCATGATAAACGGGTCAGTGTCTGATTTAAGGATTCAGTGTTAATAACATGCATATTTTGAGGATTACCTCCATTTTCTGACTTCTGAGAGATATCAGGGATCTTCCACAATATCCTTTGCTGTTCAGCATTCCTGAAAACAAATGAAGAAGAGCATTTCTGTAGGAAACAAGAAATTGCCAAGAAGTCATTTGAATTTTGCTAAAGGCTGTGTGGGCTGGTGGTGGGGGCGACCTGCTCCAGTGCTGCTCTCTGGAGCTGCAGTTCTGGGAGCTTGGCTTTGGGTTTGGCCCAGCTGAGTTAATGGCTGGACTTGATAGTCTTAGAAGGCTTTTCCAACCAAAGAATTCTATGATTGTGTGAGCTGAGCAGGAAAACGCTGTCCTTGGGTTGCAGGTGAGCGATGGGCAAGAGGCAGTGCTGTGCCCTCCTGGAAATGTTCATGCCACTGCCTATGGGAGCAACAGCCATGCATATCTCCATAGGATCACAGCATCCCAGACTGGGTTGGTTGGAAGGGACCTCAAAGCTCATCTCATTCCACTCCCTGCCATGGACAGGGACACCTTCCACAAGATCAAGTTTCTCCAAGCCCTGTCCAACCTGGCCTTGGATGCTTCCAGGGATGAGGCAGGCAGCCACAGCTTCTCTGGCCAACCTGTGCCAGGGCCTATGGCAGTGATGGCCCTGCACCCCTCTGAGCCCCGGAAAAAGCAGCCATAACACAAAATAAGGGCTGATGCTCTGCTGCCCACACACATGCATTCATCTCTGACCATTTTCTTGTGGGAATGGCAAGAAAAAATAAATCACAGTGGGGTTGCAGCCTTCCTCCTGCAAGAGGAGGGAAGGTTTCGGTTCCTAGTGTGCTCCCAGCTCCACCCACAGACCCTCCTGAATCGAGCCTGCTCCTGCAGTTCTAGGCAGGGACACAGCAGAGAGAGGGAAGGAGCTCAATCCCTACCAGACAGCAGGAGGAAGCACAGCTTGAAGTTTGGTTACTCCTCCATCGACGGGGACGAGGAACTGGACGTTGTTTAGAGCTACCGGTGTGGTCATTGCCTCTGTATTGTATTTGTAGTCGATGCGGAGGTCAGTGCTTGCAGGGTCACACCGCCAGCTCACTGCAAGGTTTAATGGAGTAGACTGAATACCCTGGGCAGATACCTTCCAAAATGACAGAAAAAACATTTAGTTTCCATAGGGGTGAAGGGAGAAGTCCCGTTTTACAGCCGCGCTCATCGCATTCGGTTTCAGAGGAGGCAATACCTTGTACTCCCACCAAAACTCCGTACTAGGCTCAAAGCCAGACAATCTAGTGCCACAAGAAGGGACTACAGGGATAACATGCCCCCACCTCACATTAGCTACACTCTGCACTAGGGAAACACCAGCTTTTACGTCTATAATTCAGCAGAGGTTTTTTTGGCACAGTTTTATCTTACAAAAAACCCCTACCTGGTATTTGAGCATATCCACATTGTAATAGGTGGCTTGCGGTTTCTGTTCCGATACCTTCTTTAGGTGAGTCATCAGATTTGGCATGTTGACCCAGAACTCCTTCGAGTTGGTGTCACTCTGCACGCTGTCACTGCAGAAAGAGAGAGTTAACCCTTTACAGAACCTGCCTTGGCAGGAGAAAGCTGTTCTACAAAGCACATGGGACAGCAGCCACCAGCTGTGAGTGACTGCACTCAATCCCACATCTATGGGAATATTGGCTGCCTCCCACACATCTCTGGCTTGTCCTCAGCTGCCTCCAGGGAGGCACAGCAAATATAACCCATAGGTCATCTCATTTTGCAAAGAGGAGGTTTAATGAGCAGAGCAAAGGACAAACAAAGCACTTGGCTCCTCACTGCTGGTGCTCTTCTACCTGGCATGGGTCTGTGTTTTTTTATAAAGTCCCCTAGTTTTCTGGAAACCCGCCTTCATTTGGGACGCTGGCAAGGTGGGTCCTTACCAGCAGAGGAGCTGGGGGTTTGGCAGGACATGCTCCAGCCTGTTGTAGTTCAGCACACGGAAGGTGAGCACCGCCGGAGTGGGATTGTTGGCAAAGTGTCGGGTGATGCCTGCTGGAAATGACAGCACCATCTCCCCCGTAATCTTCACGATACACCTGCAGTGCCAGACACAGAGACGGAGGGTCAGGAAAGGGAGGTTCAAAATGAAGCACGAGGGGAGGGCTTGCACCAAGGATGGTGGTGACAGCCCCCCAGTTCCCACCCCAGGTAATGACACTGTTGCGTTCTCAGAGTGAGCAGAAGAAGCACAAAGGCTGACAGCCCGCCAGGGACAATGGTCATGGGGCACTGCAGGAGTGTCCTGATGCTGGACCCCCACCTGGTGCAGTGCAGTGACACCCCAACGTGCACGTGCTGAGCCCAGAGCACCTCCTGTCCTCCCTCCCAAACCCTCAGGATGCACCCCAAGCCATCGCAGTCCCAGAACCCCCATATCAACATCCAGACCCCATTGGTAAGCACCTACTTGTTGGGGTCGGCCCCTTTGAAATACGCATTGACTGTTTCTGTGAAGGCGGCAGCGACAGGCAGGGTATCCTGTGCCCCCATGGTGAGGGGGCTGGGCCCCCGTGATGACCCTGCAACAGAGCAGACACCCCCACTTGGGACCACAGAGATGAACAGCCCCACTCTCCCCGGCCCAGGGCGAGGGGGTGCTCACCAGGAACCCCAGCCTCACTTCATGGGCAAATAATAACAAAAAATCCCCCAGGCTTTGGATGAGGCTTTAAAAACAGTTTTAAATTATCTTTCCCTCCCCCTCCAAAAGCAAGCAAAGAAAATGATGGAGGAGCCCCAGGCAGGAGCAGCATGCAGGGCCGTGGCCCCCCGGCGTGGGGGCTGCCACACGGCAAGTTTTGCATGACAGTTTTTGCAGTTGGTCTCTGAGCCCCGAAAAAAGGGGCTAGGGGGGTTCATTGTCTCTTCACCGGAGAGCTCAGGCTGCCTGTGAGAAAGTGGGGTGTCAGTAGTCTCATGATGCCTGAACCCCAACCTGCGGAGACTCCTGCAATCCCCTCTCCTCTCCTGCCCAGTGAGCCAAGAGGACCCCCACTCCTTGCTCACCCCACAAATCCCACAGTACTCCACAGAAAATCTGCAAATCATCAAAAATCTGAAACTACAGAGGCACAGGCTGGCCAGTGTAGTTGTGTCTGCCCCATCCATGGAAGTGTTCAAGGCCAGGTTGGATGGGCTTGGAGCAACCTGGTCTAGCGGAAGGTGTCCCTGCCCATGGCAGGGGCTGGAGCAAGATGGGCTTTGAGGTCCCTGACATCCCAAACCATTCTAGGATTCCATGATTAAAATAAAGGGGAAAAGTTTGCTTTGGTCATGCTGTGCATCCACAGACACCCGCCAGACTCTAAAATAATTAGCCCTGCAGGATCACTCGCAGGTTTCCCTTTGCTGACCAGGAATTCTTGTCTCCAAAAGAATTTGAAGATGAAATCTTCACTGCAAGTGCACCTCAGAAGCCCCAAGTGTGCTGGAAACCCTGCAATGGAGACAACATCCTGCTCCCTGTGCCCACCACCAGGGGAGTCTAAGGTGCTTTTGGCACAGCAAAGTCGTCACCTTTTCCCCATGGAAAGTGTCCAAAGATCAGCCCAGGGTTAGTGTCAGGTCACCTACCCAATGTACAAGGTGCTAAACCCGTGGACACCCAAAAAATCCTGGAGAGGTCACGCCCCAGCACTGGTGGCTCAACCTCATCTATTTCCTGCAATGCACCGTTTTGGGACCTTTTTGTTTACATCACATTCTGTACATCAGGTTAAGCATGAGGATTATTCTGCCCCAAACCAGGAATGACAAAGGTCTCCAGAGGGGCACCTTACCCAGGGACCACAACACCCCTCACTCCGTCACCTTCATCGCCAGGGTCTGAGTCAGGCAGGTGAAAGGGGTGATGAATCCAGCCTGGAGTTTGTTTGGAACATGCAAGCACGTGCCAGCTCCAGCCAAAGCTGCAGGAATTCCAATGCCAGCCCGGGAAAGGGCAGCACCTCCACAGGCAGCAAGTCCAGGGGAAAGCAAAGCAATATGTGGCATGTTCCTGATGAGCTCCTGCTCTTCTGCTTGGGCTATCCTCCAAAATTATCCCTCCCCTTCTTTATCTGCTGCTTCCCACCACTGCGAGTAAATAACAGGGTTTGGGTGCAGAAAATTGGGGTTCATAACATCTCCTGGGGAAAACATTTTCATCACTTCAATCACACTTTGAGTTTCGATATATTAATTGAAAAAATTGTGATATTTGCCAACAAGGAGGATTCCTAACACCTTACCCAGGCACCTGTGCGTTAATGGATAAACCCCAAGTGCTCTCTCCTAGAGGCACAGATGAGCCCTTCCAGTGATGGGGTTTTCCCTTCAAATCTCTAATGTAGCGTAAAAAGGTGTAAAAAATTCATGTAGCCATGTCTATACCTCAGTCATGCATCTTACGAGGCTCAGGGGAATAAGTGATTCCAGCTGCAGCCCAGAATGAGAATAATCAGGAATGGTATCTGAGTATCCTAGCACATGGGATGGGCAGCCGGAGCATCTCATCCACACACAACAGACCCATCACCACACACACATTAATTATCCTAATGAGCCCAGCGGGGCAGCCTGTGGCTCCCCAAGCCTTCTGCTCCTGGGGCCACAGCCCTGAGCTATCCATTAGGATGAACATCCCGCTGAAGAGTGGTCATGCCAGTGCCAGCCATGTGTGAGAGCATGGGCAGCTCCCCAAACCCATGGGACACGCTGATTTCCTGGCTCTGTGACAGAGAGAACATGCAGCAGCAGCACCATGGACTGCTGGGGTAACATATTTTAGATAAATTCTTTCCATAATACCACTGTTGGGTGATTCTTGCTCCCCACACCCTCAGCAATGACCTCCAGCCAAATCCAGTGGGATATTCCCATCACATCCACTCAGAAATACAGATGGGATTCAAAAGTGTCAGTGCAGGCTGGTTATGGAGGGGGGAAACCGGAGGTGGCACCCAGCAGAGGAGCATCAGGCTTGTCTCATAGGGAAGGTGAGAAGGGCTTTAGCTGCCCACATGCAATCCCTAGCAATATAATCATTATTCCTTGGGAGAGGACTAAAACCACCTCATAATGGCAGCTGAGTCTAGCCTGGACCCTGCACCAGAGCATGGAATGAGGGGCAAGTGTCTCTCATACCAATGCACCTTTTCCCTGATTTCCCATCTCTTTTTCCCCATGTTCCTCTGCACATATATAAGATTCCTTTATTCTCCAGAATGAAAAATCATCTCTACAGGAACAAATGGGCTGGTCTCATGGATCCCCATTACCAGGCTCAGCCAGGCTGTGGGAATCTGAATTCACCTGAGCAGCAACTGCAGCAAAACATCCTCATTTCTAATCCAGCTTTGAATAAAAATCATGTGGATGGAATTGAGGTTCTTGATTCCCTCCACTTTCTTCATGAACCTGCATATTCTTCTCTTAGTGGCTTCAGAGAATAAATAACCTTTGACACTAAGGTTTTTACTAAAAAAGAAAAGTATAATCTCTTTGAAGCAATGACATGATTTTCCAGAAACACGAAACAAATTCAGTTACCATGGCACACGTCCACCCAAAACCTGGCTTTTTAGTGACTGATTCAAAAGTAATTTTTAGAAACTTTTCATTTGGGCAAATGACCTGACAATAATGGAGAAAAAAACCCAAATCCATTTTATGGCTCTTTGAATCCAGCCATAAGCAGCAAACTAGGTTCATTTGCCTTATTTTTCCCTATGCAAAAGCGGAAAATACAGCTGTGGAATAAGGAGACATGAGTGACAATCCTGGCCAATCCTGGCCAGGAGAGCATCACCAAATCTTTTCACACACAAATAAACTACCCCATGTTCAGCAAATACACAGATCTTGTCACAAAAACCCCTCAAAATTCAGAAAGAAACTATTATTACTCTTCTGGCCTTCCATGTCCTGAGAGTTTCAGGTGCCAAACACAAAAGGTCTCCTCTCACTTCCCTGCAGATGAGCATTGAAGTTCAGGGTTTTTTTTAAAAGTTGGACATAGATATTTAGAAATAAATCAGGAAATACAGTGTGTGAAAGTGAGATAACTCCTTTCTGGAACATGACCTGAGCCCAGAGGCAGTGCCATACTCCTGCAGGCCTGCTGCTGTGCTGGCATTCCAGGACAAACCCACTCCCTTCTCCACACCATTCACACTGCTAGAACCAAGTCAAAGAATTCCAATAACTTCAATACTCAAAACCACAAGAAAACCCCCAAGAGGTGGATGTGCTCGCAGGGCTGGTGCTGGACTGAGCGAGGGGAGGAGGAAGCACAGAGCAGGGGGATGCACAGTGCTGGAATACTTGTGCTGAGGGATAACATTGTCCCTGCTGTCCTCAGCTCTTTCTGGAGCTCTGGACAGGCAGGTGGCACCTGGGAAACCCAGGAAGGGTTTTTTGCAGGGAACAGCAAAATGGCAATGAGCACCAGGAAGAAGCAGCTCCCCCTGGATCTAAGCTGGGAGCTGCTGTTGGAGTTAGGACCATCAAAGCAGGGACTGTTGGAGCAGGGACCTTGGGCCAAGAAAAAGGGAGGAAAGGAAGGAACCAACTCCCTGGTCAATGCCACCTCAATTCCTGCCTTCTGCTGCTGCTACTCCATCACTCTCACCAGGATGGGCTTTGCTCTATGATTCCAAGCCCATTCTCAGTGGCCTGGCAGTACCCATCCCAGGCCACTTGGCATTTTTCTGGGATGGACACACTTTGGGACTCACATGTGGAAACAGTGCTCTGGCACGTCCTGTGCCAACAGCATCCTCCAGCTCACCCCAGCCCTGCCTGCAAGCACTACAACAGCTCCAAACTGCTTGCTTGGCGATTAAAAGCACCTATTCCTGCTGCAAGCAAACCTCCTGCTTTTATTTCTGTTTTTAAAAAGCAAAATGTGAGATGAGGCTTCCCCAAAGCCTTGGCGCTCTCGGAGTGGGACTGGCTGCCCAGCCACCTACAGCTCTGCCCTACCTGGGAGTTGATGCTGCTTGGAGAACAAACAACAAGTTTTTCCCCTCCCTGCATCCTTCTCACCTACGGGGGACCCCAGAAGCCCCAAGACCTTCAAGCAGCCACCCCAGCAGCACAACCTGCTGGTGTTTCAGCTCCCAACCCTTCACTGCCAAAAAACCTGGTGGGAGATGGGGAGGAGGCCCCAGCTTGGCAGAGAACCCATCATCCTTTGGATGTTAATTAACAGCACGTGGCCCAGCCCACTCAGGGTAACGAGCAGCTCGTCAGGGAGAGTAGAGAGAAGCTCTGGTTGACAGAGTCAAGTTCCTTGGCAGTGCAAGCGGTTCCGCTCTCTGGTTTTCACCGCAGCCTCCGTACGGGAATATTCAGAATGTTCTTTTTGGTCTTGCTTGGTTTGGGTTGGATTTTTTTAGAAAATAAATAAACGAGGAAAGAGATCACGGGGACAAATGGCACAAATCAAATCAAAATTGTTCTGGTTGAACTTGCGATGTCATCTAAGTAGCCATAGCATTTTGCATGGAAAGTCGGACTGGATGGAGCCTTGGGAGGGAACCCCGGGAGTGAGAGAGCGAGAGCAGGGGGAGCGAGTCGTTACAGGGTATGCTATGCACTACTTACCTTCGAAAGTCAAATAAAACTTTCCTCTGTCAAACCAAACGAGGGAAGGCTGTTCATTCTCTGTATGGCCAGGAGTTGAAGCGGGATGGGACAGGTTAAGGAGAGGGAGAGAGAAGGACACAGTGTGAGTCACAGAGCAGGTCATTTATCTCACTACGGGGAGGGGGCGAGGCGCTGCAAGCCGTTCACGTGCAGGGACAGGGGCTTTAAACTCGGGCGTTGGCTTGGGAGACAGAAAGCAGAAAGCAAAGCTATGGAAGCCCAGATGGAAGAGTCCTTTTGCTTGGTAAGGAGTTTTGAGAGGTTTTCTCTTTTTTTGGCTACAGTAGAAGAGGCTTGTCGGCTCATGCACTCCATCAGCATGTTCTAACTGCGCTGATCTGGGCAAACATGCCGTGTCCTCCTCGCCTCCGACGTCGTCTCCGCCAGCATTCCCGGTGGGATGCTGCTCCACATGCCACACCAGTGTGCACAATCAGTGACAGTGAAATGGAGTGTTCTCTGTTGCATTTCAGGACATTACACTTGCAGATAACCAGACACACGCACACAGAGCAGCAGCTGCCTAGCTGGAATCTTCCTTTTCCCATCACAACCACCAGCTCCCTGCTCTCACACCGCCTCAAAAGCCACGTTGGACTCCAGGTACTGCTGAAATAACTCGGGGTGTGTGGGGGGAAACAGCTTTTGGAGCTGTTAAATTAAGCTCTTTGAATTCAGGAGGTGACAACCTTCCACCTCAAAGTCCTTTTGGTCACTGAGAAACTGTCATGCAAGGTGATGCGAGCGGTGGGTGTCGCCCGCTCCAAAGGCGGATTGTCTGGAAAGCTCCCTGCCAGTACAGTACCTGCCGGCATTTCACTGCGCCTTTCAAACGCGGGCAGTTTGTCAATAAAAGCATCATCCTCTGATAACACAAGCAGAAGAAACGCAAAGGAAAGAAAAAAAAACAAACACAAAGAATGAGAACACGGATCCCAACTGAAACCAAGCAGCTCGTTGTATCAATGGAGAGACAGAGAGGTGATATAACGAGAGAAATGAGGGAAGGGGCACTGACACCGGAGCAACAGCTTCTTTCTTTGCCCGAAATTATTCAGACTGACATGCAACCACGGGAAAAGCACACCAGAGCAGCACGGACAACATGGAAATGGAGCAACCCTTCACATGCTCTTGGACAAACTCCATCAGACTTTGCCACAGGAAACAGAAGACGGGAAGAGTGTCGGAGATAGACCCTGTAGTAAGCACAGGGCTGCAGGCAGCCCCAGCTGGGTTGGGTTGTCCCAGCCCCCCAGGACCCACAGTGGTCCTTGACCTGCCCATCCCTGCACACCTTCCACTTCAGCTTTTCCTCTTTCCACAAAAATCCCCAGGAATCAGAAGTGCTCCCTCCTTCACTATGGATTTTCATGGATGCTCATCCAGCACCAATGCCCACCCTCGCCTTGGTGGGGACAAGGAGATGCTTGGACTTTCCCTGAATGGGTCCCAAACCCCATCTGCTCCTGCCTTACCCCAACCAGTTTTTCCCAAGCCAAATCCTGGCAATGTGGCATCCACTGCTTGATTTATGTTGGATATTAGGTAAAGATTCTTTACCTGGAGGGTGGTCGGGCACTGAACAGGCTCCCGAGGGCAGTGGTCACAGCACCAAGGCTGCCAGAGCTCAAGAGGTGTTTGGAAAATACTATGAGGCACATGGTGGGAATGTTGGGGTGTCCTGTGCAGGGCCAGGAGTTGGACTCAATGATCCTGATGGGTCCCTTCCAACTCAAGATATTCCAGAATTCTATGATTTAGTCTGTATGGAGCTGGAAGTACAACAGCTGCAATCTGGGGTGCTCCTCCTGGCTGCCCCATTTGGAGTTCCCAAGTCCAGGGGTGACCCCAGAGCCCTGATTTCAGCTGTCTTGCAAGGAAAATCCCCCATGGAGAGGGTGGGAGATGCTAGTGCCACCGGGCACAGCTTCTCATCCCCCCAGCAATGTCATGCCCACTGCTCAGCATCGGTAGGTCATTAAAAACATCAAGCAGCAGTTTTTGTTCATGGAAAACATACGCGTCAGAGAGAAAAAAATAAATTTATATGACAGCCTGAGGGACCTGCTCAGCTGACAGGACCAGCATGCATCCTCCACACATGTCCCCTTTCCCACCCTCCTGCAGCCCCCACAACCATCCCTGTCCTCCGCCTGGCTGGTCCCCCCACCAAAACCGTAGTCCCAGGTGCCCCGTGGCCACTGTGCCGGCAGGCACTGTGCCAATCCCACTGGCATCGTGGGGGACAGCGGGCACGAACAGGACCAACACACTGGGAATGCTCAGGGCTGGCTGCCCCTTTCTCCAGGTGTTTTTTTTTTCCAGCAACACGCTGTGACAGTGACCAACAGCCGGCGAACAAGTACAAGCACCTACGACACCTTGAGAGTGAAGCAAACAACAGGATGGAGACGCAGGTTGGAGACTCCAGCAAACCCACAGGGAGGGCTCGGTGCCACTGGCACCGCGGGGACAGCGCCTGGCACACGGCTCAGGACACCCAGCACCTTCCAGCCATCACACGTGGTGATGCCACCACTTGTGAGGTGACAGCTGGTGACAAATGCCACAGCCAGGCCAGCGGCTAAGTACACACCAACCAGCCAGGCTGGGTTTTTGGAGGGTTGGAAAGAAAAGAAAAAGAAGGAAGGAGATCCTGGAGAAGATGGAGCTGCAGGAAGCGAGGAACAGTAGAGCTGGCAGCCAGGTGGGATGGCAGTGATGGCAGAAGACGGAGTGCCAGCAACCGGGATGGAAGGGAGGTGGGGACAGAGGGAATGGAGGAGGGAGGCACAGGGGGACCCAGTGCCTGGAGCCTGGGAGCTGCCAGCCAGACTTTATTCCCATTGCTTGTCTCAGGCACCCGGGGGGTTTGGCAAACCCCATGTTTTTCAGGACATTCCTCCAAAAGAAAACTGCAGTACTTTATTCTGCCTTAGGATGTGCCAAGCTAAATGGTTTGGAAGAGTGTTTTCCAAGATCCCATTTCCCACTACCACTTTAAAGGAAAGTGCAAAATTAAGACATTCAAAAAGATTTAAAATTGTTTCCCAGATCCCAAGGTCTGGCTTCCAGCCCCCCTCCCGGCACAAGCATCTCCTTCAAAAAAACCTTATTTTGCTTAAATTTACAGACCATAACCGTATTTTATGATATATTTCCCTTGGTGATAACCTTGACTTCCATCAAACATCCATTTTCCACAACATTTGGAGCTGCCCCAAAGCTTGCCTGACAGCATCACCCTCCTGATGCATCATGCCCTCTCAAATCCCTTTTTGCACTTAAAAAACCTGATGAAAAGTAATTAATGTGAACCCAAAGAATAATCTAGCAAATCAAAAGGCTTCAAGAATCGTTTAAGGACATTTAGAGGTAGGAAAGGTGAAAGAACAGCAGAGCTGTATGTTTTTACCAACGGTGGGAGTGGTGGCTGCACTCAAGGAATTGGTGGAAGATATGGAAGAAGTACTTTCAGCACGGGCTAAAGGTGCTATCGGAGGAGGACTGGATGAGTGGATAGGAGGGCTAAAAGGCCTGGACTGTAGAAAAACATAAAATAACACAAGGTTAAAGAAAACACAGACACGTTTGCATCAAACAAACAAGCTTTTCCCTGAAGCCGTGAACCTCAGGAACTCCAGCCAGCTGCTCTGCTGGCATCCCTGAGGAGTAAAGGGAATGACTTTAGTTCTTTTAGAGCTAAGACCTGGAAAAATGAGAGGTGATTCCCACCATCACATGGGCCTGGGTGTTTGAAGTTCCCATCCACGCTGAGGATGGGACCTCCAGAGGCCGCTGGATGGATGGAATGCACTTAGCATTGGGAAGGGAGCGGTGCCATCTGGTGCCATCTCACCAGGGAGCAGCTTATCAGGTCCTTATGGGTCCTTTAGGGACGATTTTTTTATTCAAATCTTGAATCCAAAAACTCTCCCAACCTACCTGAAGCAGCCTGGAGTGGCAGGACAGAATGTCACAGCCCAGATGGCACGGTGGTGAACACCCCACCTAAGATTGCTGGGCAGTCCCACCAAAGATTGCCGCATCCCCCTGAGCCAGCTACCGTTCCCAGGACAGCTGGATCCACACTGCTTTACCCCCAAACCCTTCCCACTCCTGCCCCACCCATTCTCTGCCTTTTGTCATGACTGCAGACCATGGTTTCCCTGCGCTTGGCATTACCAGGCTGGGCAACCTGATAACCACGTGCATGATAACCAGATACGTAATATGGACAACCAGAAGCAGTTACAGCCCTTCCCAGGTGAAACCTACCTCAGCGGACAAATCCTAGAAAACCCCAACCTGCCCTGGCAGCCCCCGCCAGTCACTTGTTCCGTTATCCATGTCAGGACTGAGAATGCCACCCACCACCCCCCGCTCCCTCCCAACGTACCACGTCAGCGACGGGGGGCTTGCCGGGGGGCAGCTTGGGCCGGGAGGGGGGCCGGGGGGGCGGTGGCGGAGGGGTGCCACAGGTGGCCAGTGGCGTTCCAGGGCGAGCCGGCGACGAGGAACCTGCAACAAACGGGAGCCGTGAGCACCGCACACACAGTGACCCCAGCGCTCCCCACCCCAGATCCTCCACTCACCCAGGGGTGCCCATGCACACCCCACACAGCTCCCCGTGACCACAGCCCCACACCAGGGCACAGAGCATTCCAGGACTGCTGATGCTGAAGAATTTCTCACAAGGGCTGCCCAATATCCTGCTCCCTCAGCCAGGGAGCTTTAGGCAAAATTGTTATCAGAGGAGACTTATGGCTTTCCCAAAAAACAGATGTAGGCAGGAGGAATATGGTGCTGAAGCCCTGCAGCAGCTGGTACTGGTGCCACAGCTCTAGGGTTGGCACAACTGGTGGAAAGGACAGGTAGTAGGGGCAAAGCCTTGTCCCAGCAAGAGGGGAGAGGGCAGAACAGAAAGGTTATGAGTTTTGCTGGGAGTGTAACATCTCCCAACCCTCTGGAAGAGTCTTGCAGAACAAGTGGTGTTGATCTCAGGGTTCACATGGTCCCCAGCGGTTGCTGTCCTGCTGTGTAGGGGAAGTTTTGTAATCAGATGGAAATTTTGACCAATGCTTTACAGAATATCCAGGAGACTTTTGCTCCATGCACAGAAATTCCTTCCTGAAGAAGTTCAGCAATAACTGGTGTTGTACAGAGCAGTCAGAGACGGCACCATGACATGAGGGGCACAAGGAGCGGGAGGAAATTCAGACCCCATTCCCAGGACAACTGACACGGCATTTGCCACTAGTCTCCATGGAGTTCAGCAGCTCCATGTTTGGCTCAGACTGATGATAAGACAAGGACTTTGGCTTTATTTTTCCGACTTACAAGAGAATAATTTCCTACATTTTTTGGGTGATAGTTCAGATTAAGGAAAGACCAAAGCTAGATCTATAGAAATGAGACCAGGAAGTAAAGGAGAGCAGGCTAAGCCAAGAGAGGGGCTTGTTTAAACGGAGTAAATTCCAGTCATTCTTTGGTACAACTTCAAAGTACAAGCCATTTTTAATTAAAAGCCTAATTTGGGAATCAGAGTCTGAATTTTTCCTTACTTATCCCAATAAAAGCCTGATAAAATAGGAATTATTCAGGGAAAGTAGCCTTGCGGCACTGAATGAGTGTGGCAGGATGGAGCCTTCAAGGGAGCGTTCTGTGACCGCCAGGTAGCCAAAGACCTGCCAGACATTGGCTTCCATCCCAGAATAGGTATTTCCTGCCACAAGAAACTGTGGCAGTGTGTGGAAATAAGCACGAGATTGGAAGCCTGCTGGGATGCTGGGCTTGATACAACTTGGTCTGGTGGAAGGTGTCCCTGCCCATGGCAAGGAGTTGGAATGAGATGAGCTTTGAGATCCCTTCCAACCCAAATCATTCCATGATGAGTCTACACCCATCCCCAGCCCTGATTCAGCGACACCCACAAGCCCAGGCTCCCATGGGATGTGAAGGCAGGAGGGCATCCTGGGATGGCTCTGCTCTACAGCATCCAAAAACTGGACAGGCCCAGGACCAAATGCAGCACCAGGGGCCTTGGAAAGGTGGAGAGGAGTGTGAGGGATGCTGGATCCATCTGCCAGGGGATGCAGCTTTCGGAATATTTGCACAATTTTTCTGTGGGTATGTTAACACCTTGCATTTTCCAGCTTGCTGCACTGGGGAAGGCCGAGGTCACAGTGGGATGTAAAGCAGTCCAGACTGAGACAGGAGGCAATTCCTGAAGAAGAGACATGGATCTTCTTGGAAACAACAGCTCCTCCATTCATCCCTACATGGGGAGCCCTGGCATGTCCCCATCCTGTGGCTCTTCACTCCCACAAGGAGCTACTCAGTTGGCATGAGGTTGGAGAGCATGGTGGAAGAATCTTGCTGTTTCCTGCTGCCAAACTCCAGAAGTCCCAGCTCCAACCACTGCCACTAGCAGCCCCCACATGGATTCCCACCCTCCCAGCACAGAAAAGCCACCATCACTGAAGCAAAGCCACACTTGCAGCACCAGCCTCACATGGTGGGACACCCGCAGCAGCCCCTCCACACCCCTTCCATGGAGGTGACAACCCAGAGGAATGACACTTCTTCCAAGCTTCCATGAGGCTGGTGTCACATGTTGGGGGACAGGTCTGGGGGCTGCACACCCAACACACCCCTCACCTCCCCCACCTGGGTGGAGGTTCTTCAGGGCCCTGAAGGGGTAATTCCCTCAAAAATAACTTCTGGTGGATGCAGGATGGCAGCACAGGTGTCCAGTAAGTACCCTTGGGGGTCAGCCCCTAAAACAACAGGCTCAGGTTGCACCCCTTCAAACACTCTCAGAAAGTGTGTGTAAGTTGACTTGCACCAAGCTCATTTGCCCTAATGGGCACTGACATTTATAATTAATAATAATAATTTATAATTAAGCAGGCAGCCAGCACATGCCAGACAGACCAATCAGGTTCTGCCCTGGGAGAGGCTCACCCTGGAAGACATTTCTCCTGGCTCTTCACACTCAGAGCCAAAAAGGACCAAGCACTGTCCAGATCTGTGCTACCTCTGAGCTGGGTGGGTGACAGTGTGTGGTGACCTGTCTGCAACAGATTTAAAGGACCCTGGAGCTGAGGCTTGCTCAGATTATTTGCCTGAAATGTTTCTGACTATGTTTACTCAAACCTACTGAGGACAGAGCTGCAGCAATGGCAACCCCATCCCAAATTCTGTGCACGGCAGAGGTGGGAAGGGCGGCTCTCGGGAACTTTGGGGAAAGATCATCAGCCCCATCCCACCACGAGACACGCAGCGAGGAGCAGGGGGAGGACACAGGAGGCGGAGGGCAGACGACGGACGTGGAAGCACGAGACGGGCCCGGGCGCAGGCACAGCCAGGCGGGAGGGGACGCCGGAGGCGCTCAGGGCCCCCCCGAAGCACAGCCACGGCCGCGGGACGTACCGCTGGTGCTGCCCGTGCTGGCGCCCGGTCCGGGGGACGAGACCACCGTGCGGTAGGTGGGCGGCGGAGGGGGCGGCGGGGTCGCTCTCTGTCCCGGCCCAAAATCTTTGGGAGAGGCCACCGGCTCCACGTTCTCATCCTTCAGGTGCTCAGAAACCTTCTTGTGAACCTCCTCCAGGTGCAGCGGCGAGGGCAGCGGGCGGGAGGGCTCCGCCGCGGGAGCATTGGCTGGACCGGCCGCTGCCGCCGGCGGGGATCCCGCTTTTTCCCGGGGCGTCAACTCTGGAGCCGCGTTTTCCGGGGATTGATCAGAAAAATTGACCCACTTGTCTTCTGCGTTTGCAGCAGCAGATTTGGGGGACGGCACAGGGCCAAAAATGCTGTCCAAGTCATTGATGGACGGGAGTTTGTCCCTTTTGGGCTCTGCTGCTGCCTGGTCCCCTCCTGTGGTCAGAGGAGGTTATTTTACACTTGGCATTAAGCGAGGGCTGCACTACTCTCTACGGGCTCTGTGCCAGCTACTTCTAGAGGAGATGCTCTAAAAACATGGTCTCTTATAAGCTGCTGGGGAATATAATTCATGTGCAACAAAGTTCTACATCAGGCCATGTGCAACATATAATGAACCACACTGGGTCGAAAGGCTGGATGAGTAAACATGCACCATGAGCCAAGCCCTGCTCCTCCATCACTCACATCCAACAGTACTATATCATCCCAAAAGTTACAGCCTTTACAGGTCCTCTAACTGACAGCATGTCCTTACCAGCACTCTGGATTATCAGCAGATATTAAACTTATGCACTCAGCGCTCTGGCACACCCCACACTATATATATATATTTATAAACACACACGTATAAATATATATACTTGAACATGCTGGTTTGCAGCACAGGATGCAGACAGGGTGAATGTTCTTTAGTCACAAGCAGCAGCAGATCAGGGGATTTCAGAGCTCTGCTCACTAACCAAGCCACCACACACCAACATTGCCATCTGACTCCATGACCAACACAGAGATGATCCATCAGCCAAACGTTACATATCCAGGGAAGGGAGATCCTAAAACTAACGTGCCCTCTGGGCTCCTTGTGTCAGCATCACCCCACCTCTGCTCCCGTGTTTGGGGGAGCCATCTGCTGTTCTACATTTGGGATAAAATAGAATTTTTCTCAAACAAACAATGTAGACCTCAGCCTCTTGCTTTACATGATGCACAAGGCAGAGCCCAGCAAATGGCCCGACACACATGGCTGGGCTTGACATTTGCTCCTGTGGATGAATCAATGTATGGAGATGGACACTCTGCCAGCCTGGCTGCTCCAATAAATAGGAAAAAATCAAGATATGGGAGCATGAATGAGATGTTGATGGATAGAGCAGTGAGGTCAGAGCAGGGGATTTCTTCATGGAAAGGTAATTTCATCTCAAGGTGCTCTGTCTGTCCCCATGCAGTTCCCTATCCAAAGGCCAGGCACTGTATCCCCTCCTCAAATCCTGCTGCTCCATCAGACGGCACCCTGCCAGCACCATGAATTATATACTTATAAGCACTTTATGTTCTCTGGCTGCAACCAATCCCTTTCCCTCCCTGTCCTCAGGTTGTCCTTGATTCCCAGCACCATTCCATTCTCTCTTCTCTAGCCCAGGCTGTGAGACCAGGAGGGGCTTTTCCCACATTTCCTGGCAGCAGTAGGAATCTGAGGGACAGGGAGTGCAGGAGCAGCTCCCTGACACAGGCAGACACTGCCCTGTTACTCCATAAGCACGGACCATTCAGGACTGCTTCAGGTGGTAACAGGGTTCTATATATTCCCAATTTTGAGCAGGAGATTAAGGCTTATGCTGCATTGCATTTCCAGAGTGACTGACCCCAAAGTCAGGGAGAGTGGAGAAAACATTAATTTCAGCAGGATGACACAAACCTGGGGGCCAAGGGCATCTTTGTGCTGCTTCTACAGCATCACCCCAACTGCAGCATCCACAAAGCTGTGGCTGCCCCATCTCTGGAAGTGTTCAAGGCCAGGTTGGACAGGGCTTGGAGCAACCTGCTCTAGTGGAAGGTATCCCTGCCCATGGCAGGGGCTGGAACAAGATGAACTTTAAGGTCCCTTCCAACCTAAATCAGTCTGGAATTCTACAAGCGCAAAGGGAAGAGGATGCACAAGGACCAAATCTGTGTCCCAAACACAGCCATGGGGAACCACCCCCCACCCAGCACCACCCCTGGAGGCTCTAGATCAGTCTCCCAGGCTGTGCCCTGGCACACACTGAATTTTACCTATTCCCACAGGCAGGGGGGAGCCGGTGCGTGGCGGCGTGGCCGGGATGTTCTTCGGTGGGAGCGGTGGAGGAGCTGCAAGAGAGCAGAGAGGGGAATAAATTCAGTTACAATGTCTTAGGAAACACAGTTTTACTGGGAATGGGGGACATGACAGTGATGATGTTACTCCAAGCCCCGTCCAACCTGGCCTTGGACAATTCCAGGGATGGTGCAGCCACAGCTTCTCTGGGCAACCTGTGCCAGGGCCTCACCACACTCAGAGGGAACAATATCTTCCCGATATCCCATCTATCTCTGCCCTCTGTCAGTGTAATGCCATTTTGACTGGGGTGGATGAATTTTATTTCCCCCATTTTTAATTTTCAGACTGTACTCACACATTTTAAACTCCTGAATTACCATTTTAATTAAACCTGTAGCCTCTGAGGCACAGATCTGCCTCTGTGTTTCTCATGTGCCCATCCCACATGGAGCCAGGATGCACACAGGGGAACAGGAACACTGTGGCTAATTAACAGTGGCTAATAGACCAGTACTGCTTTACAGAGGCATTTTTGCCAAGCAGATGCAAATCAGATCCAAGGCCAAACCTCCTGGAGGAGCAGCCCGTGAGGTACTGTGGTTTTCATCATCAGTGTCCCAGTCCCCTTGGAAGGTGGAGATGTGCCCAGAAGTTGCCTTGACCTTGGCACATCAGCACCAGGGCCAGGGGTGGGTTTGGCATGAAATCCATTGGGCTCATGGCTAGTGAGGCGGGAAGAGTAGGAAAAGGAGGAAAAAATGACCTTGCAGCTTGGGAGGAGGAAAAGCTGCAGTTCCCCAGTTGCCTCAGGCAATGGGGAAAGCTGCAATAAAAATCAGGGATTTGGAGTTGTGCTGATCTTCCATATGTTAACCCAGACAAAAAAAACGGTGTTTCCAACCTCTCCAGCCAGATCATTAACATGCATGATCTGGTATTCCTGGCCTCTGAAGGCAGCGTGGCTTTTACAACAGCTTCCAAGCACGACATTTGTCCTGGCTGGAGAGGTTTCACCTTGGAAATCCAGCTCTTGTGGCAGCGGTACATATCCTAAGGGAGGACGTGCATAACCTCTCACACCCCAAGTACCGTCCACCCTTCTTTCCCATCCCAAGTACCGTCCATCCCATCCCTCACCCAATCCCATTCCTTCTTCCATCCTGCAGTACTGCAGCTCAAGTCAAGCCAGGGGGAAAAAAACCTCTCAAACATAAAACGTTGTGGAATCGCACAGTCTAGATGAGGAAAAGTCAAATATTTGTCCTGATTTCTGTATATATTATTTTTTGATTGACAACCTGCACAGTCACTTACTTCCAGTTGGAAAAGGTCTTGGAAGTTTTGGGGACTCTACACTTGTGTTGATGGGCTGGACTGAACCCCAGATCTCAGGCTGATCTAGAGCAGCTGAAAAATCAAAAATAAATAAATAAACCTTTTAAAGCAATGAGAAAACTAACCATCTTCTTCTGAACACCAAAACACCTTCATCTGAGGCTTGGGAAAAGAGGAACCAAACGGTGACACAAATCTCTCATTAATTAAAGACAGGGGGTTCTATAATGGTGAATAATTAAAAGCTTGCCTGATTTTGAAACAGGACATGCAATTAGTTTGACACTCATGCTGCTTGACAAACAAAACAATGCCATTGATGGATTTAGAGGCTTATTACATGGAGGGAAACATTGTATTAATTGCAAAAATTGTCTGATATTTTAGGATATGCAAAAAAACCCATCGAGTATTAAAATGAAAAGATACAAATATATTCACAGAGGTTGTAGGGAAAAAATTTTCTAAGTAAATTAAATTTATTGTACTTTTTGGAGGGGTTGTGTGCAGAGAACTGCAAGCAAACATAGCTTTGATTAAAAGAATTAACTGGAGTCATAAATGACAAGACATAACGAGGCTACAAGGGCAGTGGCCATTCCCTGGGAGCAGAGTCTGCCGGCTCTGGGAGGAGATCTCTCTGGGAACAATCTGCTCCACAGGGTGAATGGGGTTGTTCTTTGAGGAAAACAAGCCTTGCAAGATCACTGCACTTTGGGAAAGCTGGGAAAAATCAAGCCTGGGGAGGAGCAAAGTGTCTCTGCCAAGCAAACACTGGTTTTGGGGAAAAAATGACATTATTGAGATAGTATCTTCCTGAGAATGGAGGCACTGTCCAACAGCTCCATCCAGCATCCTGCTATTTCATTGAAGGCAGATCTGAGGTGTTGGGGTGGTGTTAAACTCCTTCCCACACTCTGGGGAGCATCGAGGGGCTTGGTATAACCATGGTTTGATTTGAGAGTCAGTAATTTTGATATTCATTAGCTGTTCCCTGTCAGGATCTGTCCCAGACCACATAATTAACTAATTGACTTAAACACTTGCTCTGTTTCCATCTAACCCATATTAACCCCAGACTGGGAACCCTGTCACCTGCCCTTCGCCTTCAGCTTTAGCTTTGTCTTTTTCCTTCTTTAAGAGAAGGGTTAGGAACCTGATCAGGGAATTGCTTAGGTTGGAAAAGCTCTCTAAGAACATCAAGTCCAATCCAGCATGTTCCCAAGTGCCACATCCACATGGCTTTTAAATCCCTCCACCACTGCCCTGGGCAGCTGTGCCAGGGCTGGACATCGAGAAATTTTCCCCAATATCAAACCTAAACTTCCTTGGGCACAACTTGAGATTATTTCCTCTTGTCATATCACTGCCCTGCTTGCTGGCAGAGTTGGATGCTGCCAGCTGTCCCCAAGGCACTGCCAGAAGATGCCACCCATGTCCCCAGCCCACCGTCCAGCTTCTGCTCCTCGAACGCCGACTCCAAGGGGGGCCCGAAGAGTGGAGCCAGTGCAGCAGGATCCTCCCCTGTTTTCTTGCTGCAGGATGAGACAAGCACAGAGGAGCCATGAGGATCAGGTTTGTGCTCAAACCAAGAGTTTGAAGCAAATACGAATATTTTCAGGGAGTGTTTACATTTCAGACTAACAAGGACCTGGGCAAACACGGGGGTTTGGGCAGTGAAAAGGGAAGGACAGTGGTAGCACTGGCTATAGCACTGTGATGCCAACCCTGTAGTGCCAGAGCAGCTGCTGGGACAGTTCAAGTTGGTTCAAAATTAGTCAAAACTGCATGGAAAAGGATTAATAAAAATAGTCAAGGTCTGGACCACGCTCTGGTCCAACACACCTTGAGTCGAGCCCTGCAGCTACCTGGGGCACATTCACAGTAACACTTGGCTTTACTCCATATAAACTTGTGTGTTTGCTTTTCTAAATCAATATATCCCCCCAGCACAACGTTTGTCAGCTCTCCCTATTGATCAGGCTCAAGGTGGCTTCCAGGAGTGGATGTCCTTGCTGCTCTTGTAGGAGTACAAGGATGGACACTGTGCATCTGAAACTGGGGGTGCCGCTACTATCACAGCCTCTCAATTCTGCCAGAATCACAGACTGGTTTGGGTTTGGAGGACCTTAAAGCCCATCCCATTCCACCCCCTGCCATGGGCAGGGACACCACTAGAACAGGTTGCTCCAAGCCCCATCCAACCCAGCTTTGGACACCTCCAGGGATGAGGCAGCCACAGCTTCTCTGGGCAACCTGTGCCAGGGTCTCACCACAGGGAAGAATTCCTTCCAATATCCCATCTAACACTGCCCTCTGGCAGTGTGAAGCCATTCCCCCTTGTCCTGTCATTCCTTGTCAAAGTCCCTCTCCAGCTCTCCTGGAGCCTCTGTAGGCACTGGAAGGGGCTTTAAGGTCTCTCGGAAGCCTTATCTTCTCCAGAATCCAACAAAGAGCCCATGGACCCAAATCTCCCTATGCCTGCTGCATCCTGCATTTTCTCAGTGTATTTAAAGCCAAACACAAGATGTTCAGCTGTCTCAGGAGCCTAAAAGGTTATACAAGTGATGTTGCTGCAGTGGTGCCTTTGATGAGCCAAACTGGAGCAGCTCAGCTCACTGATGGGTTGGTAACAGTTGTAGGGTAGCAAATACTCAGTGAATTTGCTCTTTATTCTGAGTTTGCCCTACCTTGATGTAGATGATAAAGGATCAAAACCTGGAGAACACATTCAGCCAAGTCTAAATGTTCACCTGCCCATGGAATGCTCAAAACCCACATTGGGATGATGTGCCTGGACATGGATGCGTTGGATAATCCCACTGAGGGGCTCTGTACTGACCTGGCAGGGTCTGGTGTTGGTGTGGAGCGCCGGGGCCGCGTGATCTCCTCACCTGTGGCACAGGACAGACAGCACAGGGTGAGAGTCATTCCCTGCCCACTCCTCCCAGATCCTGTGCTGGCAGGAGGGCTCACACCCAGTGTGCCACCAGCATGGCACACATCCCACCCCAGCAAAGAATCTGCTTTTTAATTTAGATTTATTTCTGTAGAGCACTGAACTAGGGAGCTGCACTGCTATAGCACACTATACTCCCTGTAGTACACTCCAGGTACCCCAAGAATGTCCCACATGGCATTTTAAGGCAAACTTTTGGGTGTCATCATTTCTGCCAGGACCACTTTAAAGCAAACCTTCCCCACTCCCTTCCCCCCCCGACCCCAAACACCTCCACCAACTGCGCTGACTGTTTTTCCAGGCTGCAGAAGATACTTACTGGATAAATTCCTTTTAATTGTCCCCTGGAAACAGAAACACAGAGGTAAGTGGAATGCACAGGGACATAGGCACATGCCAATTGTCACCCAGGAGCAAAACAGCCCAGCAGACATGGCAGGAATTGTCTAAAGTGACATTTACTGTATGTGGCTGAAATACAGAGAGCAGACAACCCTGCCAGGAGGTTTCTGACCCACTTGAAGCCATCATTGGCAGCTCTGCTTTTGAAGACATCCCAGCTACCAGTGCCTTGGGGTGGGGGGGGTCAGTTACACCCTCACCCCATTAATAATGGCATAAGCCCCAAATCCTTATGTTTGATGGCTGCAAATCAATCTAATAATGTATTTTAGTAAATTTAAGTCCTTGCTCTTGCATCACACACACCTCCCCACACACAATAATTTAGGTTAGAAAAGCCATGTAACGTCATCGAGTCCAACCATCTCCCAGCGCTGCCAAGGGCACCACTGACCCATGACCCCAAATGCCACATCCACACACCTTTTCAATCCCTCCAGGGATGGGGACCCCACCACTGGCCTTGGGAAGCTTGTTCCAAAGCCAAATCCCCCCCAGTCAGAGGAATTGGAGCTGTGCAGCAGAGAGAGGAGCAGGAGCCCCACAAGAGGGGGTCAGTGGGGACATCCTGGGACCACAAGCAGGATCTCCAGGAGGCTGCAAGGATGCAGGATGAGCCTTGGAGAACACCTATCACTGAGGGTCCCTTTGCATTATCAACGAGAGGCAATCCCCTTGATCCCACCATCACCTGGAGTCACACAGCAGGGTGGGTAGTGGCACTGGCACCCAGTCCCCATTCCCTATTCCCATCAAGCACTGACTTAGCTCCCTGCAGCACTCCCATTCCCAGTAGAGGAGGAAGGGGAAAGGAGTGGGTCCTTACCGGGCTGCGCCGCTGCGGTCAGCGAGAAGGAAGAGAGAAGAGACACCTGGTCAGAGAGTGACAGGTCAGCACCCCAAGTCCCCCCAGAGCCCATCATACCCCTCTGTCACTGCTGCACCAGGTGGGCTTCTCCTCCACACAGCCTCCACCACTGGAGCACAACACCCCGTGGATCACCCGGTCACCCAGAGGTAACCCAAACCCTGGAAACTGGGGGAATTCCCCCATTTTGGGCTCGGAACAGTTGGCAGCTCAGTCCTCTTGGGGAAACCAACTCCTCTGCACACAGGAACCACAGAAGCGATGGATCACAGATGGGTTTTCTGCCTTCTCATACCTTTGGATGTGCCACAATCCACAGATAAGAGTGCCCTTATGCATCTTGTCCAAACACCTTTCACCCAAACTACACCCCCAGACTGAACACTCAAAGCAAAGACAGCTTAGCTCTATTTTTAAATGCTCTATTTTTAAATGTTCTAAGTCAACAATAAAGGAAATGAAACATCATTCTAGAAGGGCAGGATTTGTTATTTACATTTTCCATTTCAGCTCTAGAGATGTGCAGAACAGGCACTGTGTGACCAGAGGATACAAGGCTGGGTTAAAGTATTAGGGAGATAAAAATTGTGTTTCTTACCGGACTTTTCCTCTAAAAGAATGCAGAAAGAGAAAAAAAAAACAAAAACGAGAATATAAGATATTTTCTCAAAAGGGTAACAGAGAAATTAAGGATTTGTATTATGACCAAAGCATCAGGTTAAAGACATGGCAAAGCAGAGGGTCACGAGTGCACCAGCCAGGCTGTCACCCGTCCAGCTGGGAGACTGGACAGAAGGAGAGCATATGGAAATATAAAACTTTTGTCTGAGCCATCTTATAGAAGCAATTCACTTGTTTTATCATTAACAGGCCCCACTGGCTATAGGCAACAGCCATTCCCAGCCTACTTCCTTCCTTGGAAGGGTCCGTGTGGGAGAAAAGTCAAAGGGGCAGAAACGTTGTTTTTAAGTGCTTAAGTTTAAGGCTGTTACTCATCATTTTAAGCCAGTCACTGTTTTTCCCACAAAGTCCTTGTTCCTGGGTCTGAGTCTTCATGGAGCCAAGAGCAAAGCCAGCAGGAGCAGAGGTGCAGGTGGGAGGTCTGAAGCATCTGGGCTGTGCTGGCAGGGCACATGGCACAAGCAGGTTATGCCACCAGCACCTGTGATCTTTTGCACCAGAAATGGACCTTGAGCTGTTGGGCTTCAAACAGAGGGAGCATCTGACACCAGTTTACACCAGCATCTCCAGTTTTCTTCTTGTTTCTAAGTTTTAAAGCGCAAGAATTCACATCCCAAAGGCATGGGGAGGACAGTGACTACAGACACAGGCTGCCCAGAGAAGCTGTGGCTGCCCCACCCCTGGAAGTGTCCAAGGCCAGGTTGGACGGGGCTTAGAGCAACCTGGGATAGTGGAAGGTGTCCCTGCCCATGGCAGGGGCTGGAATGAGATGAGCTTTAAGGTCTCTTCCAACCCAACCAGCCAGATTCCACAGTCTACCATCCCACTGCTCTATTCCAGGAGGATGCAATGCCAGAGCAGGGCTTTGCAGTTGGTTTTGGAGGGAAGACAAGGCCAGGACAAGGACCTGACAGGCAAGCATGGAACTCCTGTGGATGCAAAACTCCTTCAGCTAGCTTCTGCCTGGGGCAGTGGTGCTTTCCTGGGCAGTGAGGGCAGTGCCATGTGCCAGGATCCGGAGAGCAGGAGTGCCTGGCAGCGACACTGCTCACTCCCCATCTGCACACCTTGGCTCCCTACACTGGATTTTGGATCCCCACATGGGTGAGCAGCATGGATCCTTCTGTCCAGCCTGGCACAGGGCTTTTCCCTGAGCACGTCTGCACTGCTTTACAGGGAAGAACAGGCTCCAGCCCAAGGCCGAGCTCTGCCAGGGACAAGGATTATCCCAAGGCACAACACAGTGTCCTAACCCAGCACCCAAAGCCTTTGGACCACATCACACAGGCATCCTCCTCCCCAGGGGCTAAACCCTTCTTAAATTATGGCAAAATCCCTCCACCTCAGCAGGAAAAACACCATGGAAAAGAGGAGACAAAAATCCTATTTAGCAAAATTCACATTCTGTGGGAATTTGGTTTTCCTGGAGAAAGTGAAGGGCAGAAGAGATGCTGATCACAACAGCCTAATCCTCATATATCAGTGCAAAACTCTTCAAGTATTTAATCAATGAGAATTAAAACCACCAAGAATCTTTGCACTGCCAGAACCTTTGTGTGGCCACCCAAATTTTTCTCAATAAATCTTTCAATCCCAGAATAGTTTGGGTTGGGAGGGACCTTAAAGCTCATCTTGTTCCCACCCCACTGCCACGGGTAGGGACACTTTCCCAACCTGCAGCATCCCTGCAAGGGATGCAGAAATCTAAGCAACAAACAGACTCGGCCCCTTAAATAAATTCTCAGTGCCTTCCTTATCCAATTTTTAAAATATTGCACTTTTTCCTCTCTCCTCCCAATGTCACCTACATTATATACACACACATGTGCAACAAAATGCTGAGGTCATCAACTCTGCAAAGCCAGAATTTGCTTGGTTTCACAATAAATTAGTCCTATATTTAGTATAATTATCTTGCAATCATTATTTGCCTATTTGGCAAATAATTGCCAGTCTCAGACTCTCCCATTTTGCTGCATTTGCTGCTTTATTATTATTATTTTAATTGTTGGGTTTGGGGTTGTTTCCCCCCCCTTTTTTTTTGTGCTTCTCAAAGCATCCAACTGCAATTTCTAACCCTTGAATGCCAACAGACAGAAAAGGAAGAAGAAATAAAATACACTGATTTTCTTTCATCTTTGCTTCGGGTTTGAGATTCATTCACACTTCAGATACAGGTTATTTATAAATCATGGGAAGCATCATCTGGAAAGACATTAAAGCCCACACTGAAAACCACTGAAAGACCAAAACCCAATCTTTTCATGGCTGAACAGATTGAGGTGAGACAACAGAAATCTTAACAAGCCTTAGGAAAAGCAGAGAGTGATGGTATTTATACCAGGAGGGACTAAGAAGAGATGATCTTTCCTTCCAGGAACTAGGATTCACCCCCAGGATGAGAAATGTTCCTCTAACATCCTATGGCAGTGTGAAAACCCCCAGATACTTTCCTTGTCCTGGGAATCAGGACAAGACCCTTCTGTTTTATCTTCTGAATGATGATTACATTAAAAAATGAGGGAAAAGGGAAAAAAAGGAATAACATATCCTGATCTCAGTTGTCCATCCTAAACCTCCCCTGACTCAGCTCCAGTCATTCCCTTGGGTTTATGGTTTATATGTAACACTTCATTTATAGTTTATATTCATTTATAGCATAGTATCAACCCAAAATATGATGTGAAGCCACAATAGCATGATACGATATATACAGTTCATGTTCATTTATAGTTTATATGTAGCACTTTTAGGCATTTCCAAAGGCACTAGTAAGACTACAGTACAATGTCATTTTTCCTTCCCTCCTCCATAATTTAGCTGAGAAATTTTTGTGACAGACCTCATCAACTACCTGCTAAGCCAACACCCAAATCAAGGCCTGAGACCTAATCAAAAAATCCGAAACTCTTCTGCCTTAGTGGCTGCAGCTCAAGCAGCCAGAATTCCTACAAAAGTGCCCTCTCACCCAGGCAGAGAAGAGGCTCCACCTCAACATTTCATGGAGCATCAGCATGGAAAGCAGAGCTTCCCACGTGCTTGGGATGATTCCCTGTGGAACACCACTGCTCTTGGAATTGCAGGAGAGAGGGAAACACACAGGACTCACCACAGGGGATGGAGAAAGTGCAATGTTGCCTATGGAGGCCTTCAGCTCATCCACAGTGGCCGCGCTCCTCAGGACATCCTTGGCCTGCAGGGGCTTGATCTTGATGTTGAACTTCTTGTGTGCCTCCTCTTCCTCCTCGGATTCACTTGAAGAGTAGAAGTGCTTTCCTTTGGTAGGTAGAGCACAGTTAAAGAAAGATTCCTTCTGCTTCCCGGGCACTCCAAGGCTGAAGCCTCCCTGGAGAGCAGGATTCAGGTGTTCCCCAAATGCTTATCCCAAATGCCCAAGGGCAGGAGTGAATCCTCCTGCTGTGCCTGTCACTGCTGTGATCTTTCACTGCTTCATCCATGTGTGGGCAGAGGACATGGGAGTGGTGTTCACAGGGGTAATTCCATCCCTGGTTTAGTCCAACAGGGGTTTGTATCCACATCTGGATTTCACAGAATTGTTCAGGTTGGAAAATCCCTCTAAGATCACCAAGTCCAACCCTCCCCAGCACTGCCAAGGCCACCACTGACCCATGTCCCCAAGTGCCACATCCACATGGCATCTAAATCACTCCACCACTGGCCTGGGCAACTGTGCCAGGGCTGGACAGCCCTTTCCAGGAAGAAATTTTCCCAATATCCAACCTGAACCTCCTTGGGTACAACTTGAAGCCGTTTCCTTTTGTGCTGTCCCTTGTTCTCTGGGAGCAGAGCCTGACCCCCACCTGGCTCCACTCTGCTGTCAGGGAGTTGCAGAGAGCCAGAAGGTCCCCCTTGAGCCTCCTTTTCTCCAGGCTAATGGTGGACATGGTGGTTTCCAGGGGGCATCCCACTGGGATGCTCCTACATTCCTCATGCTTCCTCACTCCACATCAGTGGAGCAAAGGCAATTAAAATCACCTTCTGTTCTAATGCTTCAGGTAATTCCCTCTGGAATTAAGTTTTAACCGTGGAATGATAGCTCAAAATGAAAATAAAAATTAGGAAATAAATTATGATAAATAATAAAAATGAAATAAAGATAGCCAGTGGCCTGACTGTGAACCCCAGCTCATCTTACAATTTGTAACCCAAGAGACAAAGCCAACAATAAAGGATATAGCCTGGTTCCTCAGGTCGGATGCTGTATCCCTCCTCATCAAGCTCAGGTGAGTTCTGAGTAGGAACATAGAATTAGGAATATTAATTCTGTTCCTGGAAAGCTAGAGCAGCTCTTTCCTCCTGTGGCAAGTGATGTCCATCAAAACTCAAGCCCCTGGGGCTACACAGAGCAAAGGCAACCTGTGCTGTGGCACAGCCTTCAAAGTTCACAATTAATTTTGCAGTGCTCAATTTTTGCAGGAAAGCATTTTTAATTCTTGGTTGTAAACCAAGGTTTTCTTTGGATAAAGTACAACATCCTGTTGGCCAGGACAGAGCTCTCCAGAGCCACCTCATTTCTGGGCAGTTTTATACAACCTGATTGACTTGCAGATATGAAATGGAAATCTGGACACAACTGACACCCAGACATCACCCAAAAAGCCCAAAATCAGGGTGTGGGAACAGCCTGAGTTCCCCACAAGGATCTGTACATGTGCTGGATGACGGGAAGCTCTGCGGGACACTTACGTATCTGTCCCAGTCAATCTCCGCGTAAAATCCATTCGGGGCTCCATTTGTCTTCTTCTGCAACACATTGGAAAAGAAAATTTCCATGTTTTAAATGAAGGAAACAAGAAGACATCATATCTTGTAATTGTGCCTTGGCATGGCTGGGATGCCACTGTGGAACTTCCACACGTGCACATCAGTGAGATACATCACCATTCCCCGTTTCTGGAAGGTCTCCCATACCAGAGAGATGAAAGAGTGTTTTTGGAACATCATTAGCTGAAAATACAACATTTCTTAAGGAAAAGCACCAAATGACACCATTTCTCCATGTGCTGGGATGTTCCAGCCCATGGGGAGAGCTGGTGGCAGTGGAGGCTCCCGATGCCCGTCAGGCAAGAGGTAACATCACAACTTATCAGGAGACAAACACCTCCCCCACAAAGGATTCAGATTCTGTTACCCAACATGCCAGGATTTATGGCCCCAGCCCACAGTGATGCCAGGATGGAGCAGTTACAGGTGTCTGGGATGATGTGTTAGTGCATGTCATGACACACCAACAAACACAGAGGTTATTGCTGCTTTGGATCAAGGGAATCTGGTTTGGAAGGAGGCTTTGGGCACCCATCACCTGGGGGACTCTTTGCTGGTCTGCTCTGGGCACCCAGAACCCACCAGCTCCCACTGGCCACCACAGCCAATGAACAGCCATGTCAGTGGGGACCCACCTTAGGTTGGGCTCAATTTTGGACACCTAAATTGGATAATCCGGTTCCCTTGAGCTGCCAGAGGGAGCATCCTCACCCCAGCACCCTGCCAAGGGTGTGACACAATGCACTGGCCTGGGGCTGGACCCAGCACCCTCACCCTCCATATCTTACCCATCAGACCTCAAGATGCTGCCCAAGGATGGAGCAGCTTCCTGAGAGGCTCAAGGATGAAGAAACATCCTCTGGATGCTGTTCTGTGGGACTTCTGGATGCTGTTCCTTGGCACTCCTGCTTTTCCCCCATCCGTTTCCATTTAACCCCATTTCTACCAACTCACATACATCCTGGTTGAACCTAAAGAGTATTTTTCTGTATTCTGGATATCAAACCAAGAAGGACTCGCTGTTTTTAAGGACACTTTGGTAGCTGTGAACTGAGCTCTGCTTTCCTTACCGAGTTATTTCCTCCTTCCCGCGCACTCTCGGGTTTGCTATTGCAAGATGGATCACTGGGATGAGGGCTGGGCTGCTGCAAGGGATGGGGGGTGGCAGAAAAAGGGTTAAAAGTCTCTGCTCCTTGATTGTTGGTTTTTTAAATATACAAAAATAAACTACAAGGGACTAGCAAACACTGATTTATGAAGAAAGGAGGGCTCAGCTGTGGCTCCATCAGGATTAAGCACAGTTTTTACTGGGGGCTCTATTCAGCAGTTGGAGGATTTGCCTCTTGGCTACTCCAGTGGCTGCAAACATTATGGGGAGAACATGTTTTAGGAGGAAAAATTATATTCAGTGTCTTCATCTCCAATTCCTCTGCTTCAAATACATTCAGCAGCTTCATTATACCCCCCAAAAGTTGCATTTCTGCATCCTTCAGCTTGCTGGAGCACTGGAGACCCTGCCCTGCACCCCCTCAAACAAGCAGCCACTTGGAAAACATGAGTAGGAGCCCCATGAAGAGGGCACCTGAGCTCACCTGAAGTCCCTGCACCCCCATCTGGCAAGAAAAGCTGCCCAAGGCATTTCTGTGGCAGAGGGAACAGCTCTGGGCTGTTCTCCGCATGTTCACAGAGTCATTAAGGTTGGAAAAGCCCTCCAAGATTGAGTCCAACCTGTGCCCAATCCCCACCTTGTCACCCAGCCCAGAGCACTGAGTGCCACGTCCAGTCATTCCTTGGACACCTCCAGGGATGGATGAGTCCACCAGCTCCCTGGGCAGCCCCTTCCAGTGCCTGACCACCCTTTCCAGAAAGAAATTCCTCCTGATGTCCAACCTGAACCTCCCTGATACAGCTGAACCTGAACCTGTTAATGTTATTTATTCATTTACCACTGCTGAATAGAGCCTTGGTTAAAGTGTTGCCCGAGCTGCTGATTTTTTAATCTCTATTTCTAAACAAGTTTACAGACACAGGGCAAGCCTAAAGCCAAGGATTTGGGGTTAGATGGGGAAAAAAGTGATCCCTTGGAAGGAGCAGCTTGGTACCTTAACTTTCGTATGGCTTTGAAAAGACACCCCAGCACTGCTCTCCCTGCTGAGCCTCCCAAGGGGCTTGTTTTCAAGGTGAAATTTTAACATCATTTGTTTGAGAAATAAAGCCAGCACACTCCTAATCTGACTTATTGATATCAAATGGCTAAAGGAGACAGGGCCCGTCTACTACCCAGACCTAGCAGGGACATTTCTGCCTAACACAAGAAATAAAAGCAGCAATAATTAAAAAAACCTCAAGTATCTCCTTGTTTTCAGGTTAATATAGAAAATAAAAATAGATATTGGAAGCAGCTGCTCTGACAATTTCCCCTTAACTCCTCACACAGCAAATCTGACCCAAGCCAATTAGCAGGAGTGGAAACAAGGATGAGGAGCTGAGGGTTTTAGTAGGACACCTGGTCCCTCTGCCCCTGGTGCTCCTCAGGTCTCCCTGTATTGTTATTTTCTTTGTGTTAATTTTGCAGGAAACCTGGAATAGGTCATTGTTTCAAAGAGAGGTTCTTACTGAAATTTGTTTTCTATATTAAACAGAAATGAGGAGACTGTTCACAAAATGCTGATGGTGGCAGGTGGGGGAAGTGACATTTTAGGGGCCACAATAGGAGTGGGACTGGGGTCTGGGCAGTACTTACGATGCCATCCCTGTCTGGTGAACCCCTGCAAAGAGCAGAAAGAAACAGAGCTGTGTTAGTGCCCAAACCACACCAATGCTTAATTAACTTCTGGAAATGGTTTTCTTAATGAATCCACAGCAGCAACGGTTGTAATTATGAAATTATCAGCAAACCTGAATTAACTGTCCCACATGCTCCTTGTGAAACCCACCCAATGGTCTCAGAACCATTGTCCTCTCATTATCAGATGACAAATTTTATGTTTATTAGTGATAAAGTGTTCCTGCTGATGGTCTGTCCTGACCGAGGAGTTGGGCTGGCTCCTTGCACCCATCCCATGGTCACACCTCTGTTCCAGCTCTACATCCTTTTGCAGAAGACAAAAACCATTTCTACAGTAATTTCTAGAATTTTCTTCTGCCAGAAGGACAGTCACTTCTCTTTGGAATGGATTTGAAAACTGATGAGGCTCCTTAGGGATCCTAATCCCCAGCTGATTATGGGATTTGGGCTCGGTCACAGCAGCTCCACAGCCACATTTCAACACTGCCCAGGGGTGCCAAGTTATTTAGCACAGACAAATGTTTATGGAATCCAGACAGGCTTCTCCATCTCCCATGTGCTCCCGAGTCTTATTCATTGCAAATCTATGGGATTTGCCACCATTCCTGTCTGACTCAGGGCATCCTGGTTGGACTCCTCCAACTCAAACATATCTGCATCCCATCTCTCCAATCTTCTGCTTAATCTCTTTGCACGAAGGCCTTTGGAACTCTTTGGGAGAAGCAAAAATCTCTTCTGCGTCTGTGTTTCCTCCCAGTGTAGGGGATGACACCTGGTCATATCCTGGCTGGAATTGCTGTGGAGATTATCATTGCTCTTCAGGTGGAGGGAAGAGGTGGAAGGTCCTCACTACAGTGTTGCAGCCCCAGCAGATCCCACATCTCTCCAGGACCAGGCAGCACCTCCGGAGCCACCACCACCACAGTGCCCACCACCAGGACTGGGGGCCGTGGTGGCCTGGCCATGGCAGAGGGTGACGGGGGCCTGTCAGTGCCCACTACTCTCCCAATGCCCCTCCCAGCCCCAACGGGGGATTTGGAGAGCGCTCGGAGCCGTCCGGGGCTGTGACCGTGTGGTGACCCCGCGCCTGCTAATCACTGCTGTGCTAATTGCAGTGTCCTCCACAGTGGCCTCTCTGCGAACTCGCTCCCACCCCCAGCACCCCAGGATTCCTTATCTCCCATGCCACTGGCCCTCACAGCCGCTCGGAAGGGCAGGACAGAGCAGGCATGGAAAGTGTGGCACTGGGTAAGGCAGGAGGGAGACCCAGCTGTTTCCTCTTCTTGTGGAAAATCAAAGCAGGCTGATTCCTGCCCATCCTTCTGATAAATTATAGGTGAACCCATACATGGCTGGAGCTCCTGGTTGTCCCACTGATTGCCTGGCTGGTGGATGGATGCCACCATTCCCGGTGACAAACCACTCTCTGCCAGCCAGAGAACAGCTCAGTGCTGCGCAACCCTCTTTTGAGATGTGCTCCATGTCTGCCTATTTTTGGTCCCCTCTTTGCAGCAGACAAAGCCCTGCACCGGGCACACCATGGCCCCAGGTGCATGGCCAGGCCTTGCAGATGTCCCTTTGTACAAGAAACCTCCAAACCCCCAGCCACCAAGACATAAAACAGCTCAGGAAAACAAATCCAAATGAAATAAAAAAAAAAAACCTTGAAGTGTCTGCTGTGCCAGACATTAAGCACCTGAATGATGCTGCAGATGCAGGAATGGGGCTCCCTGCTGCCTTCCTCCTGCTCTGTTCCCAGGCTATGGGTGGCACAGGCTCCTTTGTCACAATGCTTTGGGACATCTACCCCAAAGCCACAGCAGTGGTGGCCAATCACTGAGGTTGGAAAAGCCCTCCCAGACCATCAAGTCCAACCATTCCCAGCACTGCCACTAACTAACCACATGCCACCACTAACCCATGTCCTCAAGTGCCACATCCACACAGCTTTTAAATCTCTCCAGGGATGGGCACTCCATCACTGCCCTGGGCAGCCTGTTCCAATACCTGACAGCTCTTTCCACGAAGAGATTTCCCCTAATATCCAACTTAAGCTTCTCCCGGTCTGAGATAATGCTATTTTCTCTCATCCTGTCCCTTGTTCCCTGGGAGCAGAGCCCGGCCCCACCTGGCTCCACCCTCCTGTCAGGGAGTTGCAGAGAGTGAGAAGGTCCCCCCGAGCCTCCTTTTCTTCAGGCTGAGCCCCCCCAGCTCCCTCAGCAGCTCCTGGTGCTCCAGACCCTTCTCCAGAACTGGTATCAGCACCCCACCAACAGCTCTGCACCCACACAGAGCATCCCCTGGCAGATACCGGAAGATCCCCCCGCACATATTTTCCTGGAAAGCAAAATTATCTCTCACAGCAGAGGCAAAAGATCTTGTGCTCCACCAGCCCCCTGCTCCCCATCATCCCAAGCCTGCCCCAACCACACAGCCCCACTGCCTCCACAAGCATCTGTTTAAATTGAATTGGCATCTATAAAGAGCTCAGCAGACAAGGCAAATTAGTAGTTTGGGCAGAGATTTATCTGCTGAAACTCTCAGAGGAGTAGTTTTCCTCTGATCACCACTCACTGTCACTGTAAACCGCACACACACAGAGAACCTGCTTGATCATCTCTGCAGCAACACCGAGGAAACCCCTGATTTGTTGGCCCCTGGATGTACAAGGGGAAGCAGCTTCAATGTATTTGTTATTAAACACTTGATCTAATAAATGCCTGTGATGGCCCAGCTTCCTGCCTGTCCTGATACAGTGGCATCCACTCCTCCCTGGCATCATTATACATTAATGTGGTTTATGTCTCATGGACTCACGTGGAATCAGTGTCCTTTTCTTTCTTCCGTATACCAAAGGCCTTCCTGGTACGTTTTTTCAATCCTGTGGGTAGAAGGAACACAAAAGAAATGCAATATTAATACAACACTTCAAGTAAATCCTCCAAAAGGTTCCTTATTCCCTTGCTGGCTGTAATCCATAAATAAGGTTAAACAAGGAAAGAGCCAAACCCCAGAAGCTGCCAGCAGGACTTTGCAGGTTGTGTGTACATTTGCTTATGCCATTTATTTGTTCACTTAACACTTATTAACTTGATCCCAGCGTGTGGGGCTGTATTTCACAGTTAATATTTCTAAGCTTTCTGTCTTAATCACACCCTCGTGCTGCGTGTGGGCTCTAATGCATGGAGGGGAAACCCCTCTTTGGTGTTAAAAAACGGTTTAAACCATGAGGTTGGTTATCTTCTGTGGTGATTCTTGATCTGCACAGTGCTTAAAATGATGCCTGGTACCAGTAATGCTGGAGCCAGATGGGAAGTGGGAAGTCCTGGAAGCCCCAGAGCCCATCAAGGCACCAGCCACCACCACAACACTTGGAAGCCAGATGGAGGAGAGTGGGTTTCTCCAAGCTTCTCCCTCTTTTTACAGAATCCCAGACTGGTTTGGGTTGGAAGGGATCTTAAAGCTTATTTCATTCCTAGGCAGGGACACCTTCCACTAGTCCAGGTTGCTCATACACCCCCAGCCTATGGGATCCATACGTCCCAGCTGCCAAGGGCAACACAAGCAGCTGGAATCCACAGACTCATCCTGCACCTTCATGGACAGTTTTGGTGTTACTATATCCATGCCTTTCATCTTTCCTACTTTCTCCAGGACTCAGATGAGTCATTAATAACAGAGGAACATTCCCATTAATCTCCCCCCGGAATAACTTCATCCTCCAAACTCAAAATAGAACAGGAAAGGCCAAAACCCCCAGAAATGAGTTGTTTAGTCTTATCTGAAGCAGCACCCAATGTGGCTAAATTTTGTAACACAGCCTTCTGCTCAGTTATATAATAGGCCCACCATCTGCTTGAAGCGGTTATGATTGAGGGAGAAAAGGGATATTTAGGAAAGGGAGAACAAAAATGACATTTTCCTTTGGAGATGGCTGTTGGGAGCCAGTGGGAGCAGGTCCCCCACCAAACCCCACTGTCACTGCAGGGCATGCCACTGACTGCCCTGATAGTGAAATCAGAAAGGTCTTCAGGTCAGTGGGGTATGACACAGTGATTTTCCAGGAGTAGAATTTTCCCAGAATTTCAGTGGCTGCAGCTCAGAAGAGCTCGTGTCTCCCCTGACATGGTGAAATGCCCCATCCAGTGGTGCAGGGGCTGAGCAGAGAGTTGTGCACAGAAAGGTACTGCACACTCTGGGCCTCAAATCTCCTTTCAGCTGTTTTTAGTAGCTGAAGGATGATAAAACCTGTCCTGGCAAGAGCAATTGTTTTAAAAATAATAATAAGATCTTGTCCATGGAGGGAATGCTACATGGAGATACTACGGATTCATTGGAACCTCTCAGGATAAGAGATCCACTGCCGGAAGAGAAGGTGATGGTAAGTAGGACAGACAGCAGAGAAGAGTCAGTGAAGCAGCAGAAAGGCTGAAAGCATGGAAGAAAGCATGAAAGAAAACAGAGTATATATATCCATGTGGGGTATAATTCATATTTAATTTACTATTATTTTTTTTTCCTTGGTATAACCAAGAATTGGGATCTGAGAAACAGGAACTACTACTTCAAAATATGTAAAGCTTCATAGTGTTTTCTTGAGAATTACCAACATCTTATTTTCTACACCAAAGACTTCACACCTCTAGAAGAAAAACAACCCTGTTCTCCCAAATCCAGTCCCTTGCGCTCCATCCCCATGCAGTGGGAGCAGCTGCTGCCTCTGGAGCCCCAAATATTGAGGGGGGTCCATGGAGAAAGAGTTACTTGCTCAGGATGACGGAACTCATAAGCAACACACCTCTCCAAGAGGAGAGACAGAGTGTAAATGCTCTTCTAGGAAAACTAAAGAAAAAAATGCTCGAAATTAGTTCTACTTCATCTGTGCAGAGAAAAATATTATCTATGGCCATGGCAGAGACTCAAGACCAAAGTACTTGTGGGGAGGGGGAAAGAAGGAAGGGAGAAGAATAGGGTAGGGGAATAAGAAATAGTCACTATTAAGTTTGGGTTTCCTTTGGTTTGGTTGTGTGTGGGTTTTTCAGAGCTGGATTTGAACAACCTGCTTTCCCCACCACACACAAACCTGCAGCTCCTACCAAATCCCTTTGCTGAGTCCAGAGATGTGCTGTTCCATAGCCAAAGGACTCTGGTTTTGGCCCACTTTACTAAAGAAATAACAGCCCTCTCTGCTCAGCAAGACAGAACCAAAGGTAAGACAAAACTACTGAAAACTTCTGAGCCACATCCAGAGGAAAAATTGAACAGTAAATTAAGTTTTCAGAAGTGAGGGTATAACCACATCAAGCCCCAAACAAATACCCAAACAGCCGTGACTCAAATGTAGCAGCCTGAATCTACCACCAGTGGTGTATTTGACATGAAAACGGGCATTTTGGTCCACTGCAAACCAGAGATTCCCAATTGCTTCATCCTCTGCAGCAGAAAAGCCACACTTCTTCAGTTCATGTTATTTTTGTTTTTGTCCACTTTATCTGTAATTATTATATGTCTTCATAACATAAAATGCTTTACCAATACCAACCTCTGCATTAAAGCATGGTACCAGCCTTTCAGTGGCCTCAATAATGCAGTGAAAAACGGAGCCCTCTGCACACAGCCTTGATAAAGTCATGAATATTTCAACCACTTTCATTTACAAGTCTAATTACAGACCTTATTCTGGAGAAGAAACCGAGGGACACCAGCAAGTGGCAGTTGGGCAGTGATGGCACCACTCCTGTGGCAGCCGAAGGGCTCATCCTGCACCAGCCCAGCCCTGCAGACCACGGAAAGGGTTGTAGCACAAATCCTTCAGGAGACAAGCTCTGCTGCTGCTCCCTGTGCCTGCTGTGGTGCCACCAGGCTCCAGCAACAAACCCATCACCTTGAAATTTGGGATTGTTCAGCCTGGAGAAGAAAAAGCTCCAGGGAGACCTTAGAGCCCCTTCCAGTGCCTAAAGAGGCTCCAGAAGAGCTGGAGAGGGACTTTGGACAAGGGCCTGGAGGGACAGGATGAGGGGGAATGGCTTCCCACTGTCAGAGGGTAGGGTTAGATGGGATATTGGGAAGGAATTCTTGGCTGTGAGGGCAGTGAGGCCCTGGCACAGGTTTCCCAGAGAAGCTGTGGCTGCCCCATCCCTGGAAGTGTCCAAGGCCAAGGTGGACAGGGCTTGGAGCAACCTGGGATAGTGGAAGGTGTCCCTGCCTGTGGCAGGGGGTGGGACTGGATGGGCTTTGAGGTCCCTTCCAATGCAAACCATTTGATGATTCTATGATTACAGTCCTCCACATGTTCACAGCAGTTTCTCCCCTTTAGGGAAAAAAAAAATAGTGAGGGAAAAGGGGTGGTGGCCCCAGTACAGTTCTATCACTCGCTGCCAGAGCAGAACATTGTTGGCATCTTGCTGTGGCTCTCAGGAAAAGAGAAATACTTGAAAACAAAAGTGAGCAACAACAATTGTGGACTTGGTCATTGGTTTTGTTTGTTTTTTGTTTTTAAATATATGCTGGGTTTTGTTTGGTTTTTGTTTTTAAATATATGCTGAAAAATTTGGTCCTTATCAGAAATTTCAGTTGGGAGACACTGAAGGACTAGCAGTGTTTGAGAGCCTAAAACAAAATCACAAATAAGCCTGAACAAAATAAAACATCATAAGTTACTGCTCTGGGATTGTTTTCTCCTACAATAGGACTGTTTGGTCCTGGGTCAAAGTCCCAGGAGGTCGAGCATTGTAAATAATAGAATTTTGAGATGCAGTACATGTCACCAACCACTGAGGAGTCCAGCTATGGTGGTCTTAGTCACATCAAGAAGATCCAAAGTTTTGTAGTAAAGCCAAGCCCCACCATCAAGCAGAGTCATGCTGAGGAGGAACAGAGTTGGCACCACACTCAGTCTTGGTCCTGCTCGGCCTGGGATGACCCCTGGGCTGGCATGTGGCTGATGGGAGAGGGACCAGGGCAGCCAGGAAGCTGGAGCAGATGGAGATGGGCACCTGCAGGAGATTGTGGATTTGGAGCTGTGCTGGATGGACATCTGGAACAGCTGTGTTGGGGTCCAAGTGCCTACCCAGGAATGGAAATGCAGTGGTGAGGGATCTCCACTCCAAAGGACAGATGCGACACAAGATCCTGTGGCTGACTCAAAAATACAGTCAGATTTCCAATGTGACAGTAATTAAGTCTCTGATCAGGTTGTGGCAAACTTTGCCTAAGGAGATTTTGAATTAACATCCAACACATTTCTAAAAACAAACACCATATTCCAGCTATGAGATGTGAAGTAATTAGAGGAAGTCCTGTGGCCACTTCTGCGTTTGTGGCTGCTGACATGTGTCCAGTGTCCATCCCAACGTACCCACAGGGGTTCAAGCTCCCAAGACCTGCACATCTTGCCCCTTCCTGTGGGTCTGCACTTCCTTCCCTTTGCAAACTCCCCAAATACCCATTTGCAGTAGTTGGGGCCATGAGTTCAAAATGCCAGAACCCTGGAGTCAAAACCCACTCTTTGCAGACCCTCAGCACAGTGAGGGAGAACAAATTGGCTGACTTGGAATCACAGAACCATTTAGGTTGGAAAATCCCTCCAAGATAAAGTCCAACCATTCCCCCAGCACTGCCAAGGCCACCACTAACCCATGTCCCCGAGTGCCACATCCACATGGCTTTTAAATCCCTCCAGGGATGGGGACTCCACCACTGCCCTGGGCAGCTGTTCCAACGCTTGACAACCCTTTTAGCGAAGAAATTTTTCCTAATATCCAACCTGAACCTTCCTGGCATTTCAATATACCCAGATAAAAAAAACCTTTGCCTGGGCATTAGTCCAACCCCTTCATTTCGCAGGCAGTTCAAATACCTCATGTACCTGCAGCTCAGGAA